GAGGCCAAGGCAGGTGGATCACGAGGTCAGGAGTTCAAGACCAACCTGGCAAAATTGGTGAAACCCCCATCTCTACTAAAAATACAAAAAATTAGCTGGGCATGATGGCACACGACTATAGTCTCAGCTGCTTAGGAGGCTGAGACAGGAGAATTGCTTGAACCTGGGAGGCGGAGATTGCAGTGAGCCAAGATCACACCATTGCACTCCAGGCTGGGTGACAGAGTGAGACTCTGTCTCAAAAAAAAAAAAAAGTTTACAGCATGAAGTTGACTGTCTTTGTTGGCTTCTGCTGGACACATTTTTTAATACAGAAAAACTGTGTCTGTAGCATTGGGTACTGAAGAGAGAGAGCAGAAGGCTTCAATTGGCCCTAGTTGCCCACAAGTCCCCTGAGCCCAGATTAAAATTATGATGGCTGATAACCACCATTTTTCCAAACTAATACACAATAAGCTAAAAATAGCTTTCCCTTTCTAAGCATTCATGTCTGGGAATTCAGGCTCATTTAAATGGCAGGTGACTATTCATGATCAATTTAGTTGCTAACCCCAATTTTTTTGTCTAACACATCTGCTATAACCTCTGTCAGGAAAAACTGTTCATGAAATTATTGAGTCATTTAATCCCTGTCCGGTTTCCATAAGCAAACTGTAACCTCATTCCACAAATAGCCGGGGAGAATCAGCTCTGTTCCCATAGTGACAGCTCACTGTATCTGCTATCTTTACAAGGGGGAACACATGTGAGGTTTGGAAACAATAAATCAGACATATCAAAAGTGACTACCTAAGGTGACTATTTCTATAGAAGAACTAACATTATTTTTAGAATTCCTTATGAAAAGAAAACAGGGGCTAGTCTATACCTGTAGTCCCAGCTACTGGGGAGCCCTTGAGCCAGGAGGTTGAGGCTGTAGTGAGCTATGATAGCATCACTGCACTCTAGCCCAGGTGACACAGTGAGACCCTATCTCTTAAAAAAGAAATGAATACTCTGTATGGTTTCCAATAATCTTAAACTACATAACCCTGCCTGAATTTACACTATATGCTTCTACCAGCTGCGCAGAAAGCAAATTCCCCACTAAGTTGGCGATGAGGTTTTTGGCAACTACAGCTCTCCAACAAAAGCTATTATGATGGTTCGTACTGAGTGTCAACTTGACTGGACTGCGGAAGCAAAGTCTTGATCCTAGGTATGTCTGTGAGGGTGTTGCCAAGGGAGATTAACATTTGAGCCAATGGGCTGAGAAAGGCAAGCCCACCCTTAATCTGGGTGGGCACAATCTAATCAACTGTCACGGCAACCAGAACAAAAAGCAAGCAGATGGCCGGGTGCGGTGGCTCACACCTGTAATCCCAGCACTTTGGGAGGCTGAAGTGGGCAGATTGAGCTCAGGAGTTCGAGATCACCCTGGGCAACAGGATGACATCCAGTCTCTACTAAAATACAAAAAATTAGTTGGGTGTGGTGGCACTCGCCTGTAGTCCCAGCTACTAGGCACAAGAATCACTTGAGCCCTGGAGGCAAAGGTTACAGTAAGCTGAGATAGAGCTTTTGCACTAAGGCTTAGAATACAGAGTGAGACTCTAGCTTAAAAAAAAAAAAAAAAAAAAAAAAAAAAAAAAAAAAAGGAGGCAGAAGAAGGTGAAAAGGCTAGACTGGCTTAGCCTCCCAATCTACATTTTTCTCCCAGGCTGGACTTCTAGTTCTTCAGCTTTGGGACTAGGACTAGCCTTCCTTGCTCCTCAGCTTGCAGATGGCCTCCTGTGGGACCTTGTGATTGTGTGAGTTAATACTCCTTAATAAACTCCTCTTTATTAGTTCTGTCCCTCTAGTGAACCCTAATACAGTTATGAAACTGGAGGTAAATGGAATCATCTAAAAAAATGGCAAGAGCAATCACAAAGTCTCTTTTCTGTAAAACAGAAACTGGGGCTCTGGCTAAAAACAAGATACTCACCAAACACCCATGCATTCATTCAAACCTACACGTGGTGCTCTATGATTCCTACTTTCTCACAGTCTGGGAGAAGCAGAAGCACACGATACTGACCACAGTGCTGGGTTCTAAGGGTCAGGGCACTGCACAGCCCACACCTGACCACAGAGGAGCAGGAGCTCGCTCTGCTTGAGATCAGAGGCAATGATCATTAAGATGGGCCTCTAACAATGAGACACACTCACCAAATGGGAAAGGAGACAAGAAAAGACCCAAAGGCAGACCTGTGAATGGCAAGATTCTGAGATGCACTGGGTTTTCTAAGCAAAACAAACATTTGGGGCAGGAAAAAAAAGTACCAGTAGTGTTCCAAGTGCATTTTTATAGCACCATTTGACCCCACCTACCCTATTTCTAGCTCACAGCTTTTAAAAAATCTTGAACAACAATAATCATGAAATAAGCAGAAATAAGTTTTATTCTCAGTATAGGACAGCAGCTGGACAAACAGGCTTTCAAGTTAGACAGACTTGAAATCTCAAATCTCAGTTCCTCCACTGCCTATCTGTGTATCCTTGGTAAGTTAGTTCACTTTTGAGCCTGTTTCCTGTCTAAAAATAATCCTACTATCTCTGAGGTAGGTTGTGATGATTCCATGAAATTATGGTAAAGCAATCAGCTCAGTTCAACAAATTATGGTGCTTCTAAATAAGGAATCAGGAGAGATTCCTAGGCCATGGGTCAGTATTTACCTTTCCCAAGTCAATCTAGTCTCTGCTGTCTCAATTTTAGAATGAAAAAGTAAATTTTTCTGTAGTACTACAACTGAAAATCTTTTTTTAAATAGCATTTCTGCCAAATACTATAGCTTTATAATATATTTCTAACACAGCTGATCAATAGTTTGACTTAACTATAGAAAGCAACTAAGTGAAATTTTATAGAATTCTTGGAGACGATACAGTAAGAGAGTAACAGAGCCCAATGATTAATCAGTCTTTATTAAAATAAGGTTGCTTCTAAGTTATTTTAAATGGGTGGCTCACTCCACTCTTGAAATTATATTCCATGGAAAGAATGATCTGTACTCTCTTTTGGTTATCAATATTTTCCACAATCTCCAACATGAAAGCCTATCACATTTTAGTTCACACCCACATTATTTCTCCTTCTGAGTTAAATACAGAAAACTACCAGTAGCATAAGAATCTATCCCATTCTTTAAAAGGAAGTCATTTCTTCACTCGCACCCCACTATCCCCCTGTTCCTGTAGGCATTATTTTCTATCACTCTGCAAAGTGCCTGATTTTTACATTTTTAAATCACGAAACCTTTTCAGTAGGAAGCTAACTGAAATCTCTACTGCAAAAAAGAACAGAGTCGCTAGGATGGAGAGGAGTCCAACACAGGCAAAGAAACTGTGGGAAATTCTAAACAAGGAAGCACGATGTCTCTTGAATCCCTTCTGGTTCTGAGTGACAGAGATAAGAACTATAATCATCAGTCCAGTTAAGGTCACAGCATAAGACAAGAGGATAATCTCTGTATATTCCTCCTATTTATGGAAACCACTCTGTCTACCAGAGATGTTCAATGAAATGATACAAGATGGGAAAAGACTAAGCACTTAGCCAAAATCCTTCTCTTCCAAGTCCCCGTGGACACACTGATATTGGAGATGCCAAATGATGTGCATGTTTCAGCTCATGCCAGAAAAAAAAGAACCCCTGCTGCTCAGTGGGCTTTGATTCTTCATGAACTCGTTTCCCACAAACTCATCAAAGGAGAGTGCAGTGACCCTAGTTAAGTCAACACACTGATTCTTTCCTTGGCCCCCATCAGAAGATGACATCTCTTGACACTACTCACCAAATAATGCTGAACAAATTACTATCATCTTTGTGCTTCCGTTTCCCCTTTCACAAATGGGGATAATAATAGTGCTATTGCTTAGAATTATGGCAGGGACTGTGATGATAGCTACCATTTATTTGTGCCTGTCACATAGCAAGAGCCAGTAAGTGTTAGTTACTATCACCAATAGCATCGTCATCTTGGAGTCTGGAGAGATGTGGCATTTCTTTCACAAAATAAGAAAATTGTGGAGAGCGACAGTGAAGATTTTAAAGTCTAAAATTAACTCTCCAAAAAGTGCTTTTGCCACAAACTGTACCATGTCAATGGCTACTCTGTACAATTACCCCAGACTACTCCATTCCAAGTAAGAATTAATGCTTGCAACACATAATGGAAAAAAAAATTCCCCTTGGAGTACAAAGCAAGAATGAATGACTATACAGCAAAAGTCTCTTAAAAATGTAATTTTAAGCTGCTGCTCTGAAGTCAGATGTGACTCACAATTCAGCACTTTGATTCAACTGTTAGCTAAGAATAAAAGGTAGAATACAGCTTCCTTTAAAATCAGTTTTGTTGCCATGTTTAACTTCTATAAGAAACCTCTGTAATTTAAATATAGAAGTAAACAGGTTATGGTTTGCTTGTAGTTCATTCCAGTTGTAACATATATTTTATATTTACCAAAGCACACAAGGGCACATATATGCACAGTTCCATTAGGAAAGGCGTAAGCATGTTTTCTAATTTAAAGAAAAGCAGAGTTCTATTAAAAATCAGTTGCCAACACTCACACCAAATCTATATTCTTGGAATCTGTTCTTCAAAATCAATTTTGATCAAAGTGAAAAAAATCTTAAGAGAAAAATAATTTTGAAATCCAAGTAGGAGTAGGTAGAAGATACTGTCCCCTTCTATTTATATGTTTAGCTGTAAGATCGTCTAATAAAGATCATATTTTCTACTTGCTTGGAAGTTCCAGTATTTTGTGTTTTTTAAAAGACTTATCAAATTGCTCCTACCCTAAATCCTACAGCAGTACGTTTGAAAACAAGGAGACACATAGCACAAGTAACTTGGAATTCTACTTGGAATGACCCCACCACACTAAGCAGACCTCTGAGTAGCCTCTGAGCACGCTGCCAATAGCAGCAGCAGCTGGCATGGCAGAGCTGGAAACCCCCGCCAAAGGACACTGACCTTTTGATGACTTGTGACTTCGTCCCTGCTTCTCCCCAGCTCCTCAGCAAGTTTAACGTTCTCTTCTTGCAATGCTGAAAGCTGCTGGGACTTCTGAGCTGCTGCCTGCTTTAGGGTTTCTCTGCAAGGACAGTGAGTGCCGGGTTACCATAGAAACAAGACAGGCAAGGAAACTGTGGGAGACAACCAGCTTCACAGCACTGAGGAAAATATATCTGGGTCACGTGACTGATAGGATCTATAACAGCAGACAGTATTATCTACATGCAGAAGGGCTAAATGGCCATAACCTCCCAAAAGGAGGACTTCCACCCACAATTATTACATTTTTCAGAACCTAATAAACCCTATGCCCACCATCCCACCACTCAAACTTACCCCCTAAAAAAGGAATTTTGCTATAAAATAAATGGCAGAAGAGATGGTCAGCCCTCCTGTCTTTAGGAATATTTCCCTTAGATTATTTTACTAAAACCCACTTCACTGATAAAGTGATTTAATTTGCTGCCAAGGCACTCTGTTCTAACTGCACAGATCTATAATTTGTTTTTCTCTGGAAGAAATAAAAATCCAATGGTCCCATTTACCAGTATCTGTCAGAGTCAAATGCTGATGTAAATCTGAGTATATTTTTAGGACAACTAGAGGCGGAATGCCCAAAGGAAACAGTTTTCTAATTACATAACAGGTGTTTTATTTTGATAGTCTTTCCACAATGCTAATTTATAATTGAAAAAAGCAAATAAAAATATAATACAGCCTGCTAACCTATACCATGAATAACCATAGAAAATATGAACAGGATAGGTATATTTATTAAACATCTTCTTGTTCTTAAAATAATAAAAAACATACATCCTAAACATTATCCTTTATACATGAATATGCACAATATTTGATCACTAAATCTTAGTTTTATGCTGTAGAGGATTTTGATGCAATTGTGAATTTTAGTACGTCTGTGTTGGTTAAACTCCATTTAGCAAGCTGTCATACATGGCTGAATTCTGAATCAAGTCATCTGGGTATGAATCCATCTGCTGATGCATGAACACATCTATTTTTAACTTCAATTGTCTAATGGGTGGCGGTTCTTGGCACATTCGATTTTCTCAATTTTTAATTCTCCATCCACCTATAATATGCACACTGGGATGACCTCAGGAAGACTTAGGGAAATAAATCTACACAAAAATTCTCTTAGCACACTAATTAGGCTTTCTACAGAGATGTTTATTTAGCAATTAAAGAAAAACTGAGAAGGAATTTTTGCCTCAGCTAGTCACTCACAAAAGAGATTGATATATACAAATCTCTATTCATATACGTATGTATGTATCCATGCATACACACATATCACAGCTAAAGTTCATCTGTCCAAGTCCATCAATCCTTGACAAATCAGATTTTCTTATGGCAAAATTATCATAAGCCAAACGTCATATTTTCCAGGTGGTCACTGCCTTCATGAGTGGCTACATGGTGTCTGCATGTGTGTGGCCTGTCAAAGTACTACACTTTCATTCTTGCTCCTTCTCTCTCAAGCCCACAGAAAAGAAAATTAAAATAATACATCAAGGAAGTAATCTAAAAGTGGCCAAAGTGGCCTAAAGCACTGACCTATAAAAACAAAATTTAGTGTTTTAAAATGTACAAAATTTCTCCATGTCCATTTTCTCACTTAATCCTCAAAGCCCAAGGAGGCTAATGTTATTTATGTTTTAATAGGAAGATTGAAGCTCTGGAAGGTAAACAGATTTGCCCCAAATCATAAAGCCAGTAAGCAGCAAAACCACAAGAATAGGAGCTACAATTGGCAGATGACTTCAATCATGATTCAGATATAGAGCACTTGTTTTTTCTTTAGTGGGTAGCGGGTGAATTCATTTCATAGAGGAAAGAGGCTCCGATAACCCAAATTCTGGAAATACTCAAAGAATGATTCTCAAAATAGCCACAAAAATATTTCCAATGATTTTTAAAGAAGCTACTTTTCTTTCTACATGACAATACCCTGACACAGAAAAGACTGTGGGTTTAAAACAGAAGACAAAATAAACATAATTAATACTGACATGCAAACATTTTACTTATAAATCCATCATAAATCTATTATCATGCTAAATATATTGTAGATTTACTACTGTGCCAGGTGAGTAAAGACAATAATTAAATTGCTTGGTTGGGCGTGGTGGCTCACGCCTGTAATCCAAGCACTTTGGAGGCCAAGGCAGGCGGATCACCTGAGGTCGGTAGTTCAAGACCAGCCTGACCAACATGGTGAAACCCTGTCTTTTTAAAAATAAAAATAATAATAAATAAAAAAAATTAAATTGCTTATATCCTTTTTTCCCTAAGATCCAAAATTATACACCATGAGAAACTGTTTTATTGTTGATCTCCAACTGATAATAGGAGCTGGCTAACTGAAATCAAGCAAGAGCTTTCCTAAAACCAGCCTTGTAAGTGGTATGTAGGAAAAGAATATTCAGTTACAAGTGCTGGTTTCCAGGGGCAAGGGCAATATTCTAGAGGGAGTGGTTCCTATTAAAACCCCTGGCCGAGTACAGTGGCTCAAGCCTGTAATCCCAGCACTTTGGGAGGCCCAGGCAGGTGCATCACTTGAGGCCATGAGTTTGAGACCAGCCTGACAAACAAGGCAAAACCCTGTCTCTATTAAAAATACAAAAATTAGCTGGGCGTGGTGGTGTGCACCTGTAATCCCAGCTACTTGGGAGGCTGATGTGGGATGCTGAATTGAACCCAGGAGGTGGAGGCTGCAGTGAGCTGAGACTGCTGCCACTGTATTCTAGCTTGGGCAACAGAGTGAGACTCTGACTCAGAAAAAAAAAAGGAAAGAAAGAAAAAAAGAAACCCTGCTCTATGTTGGTGCCTCTTTTTCTCCAGGAACCACAGTCCTATTAGGTGAGGAGAAACACCAAAAAAGCTCCAGAGGACACACAAAGTCCCATATATGCTAAACCACAGAAGAGGCAGGCAGCTGTTCATTCTCCAGCTTTGAGCCCTGAGGAATAAGACTAAGGAAAGGCAAAGTGACTGCTGTGTTTTGAGAAGCATGTTCCCATTACACAGTCCTCTTACAGCAGATGACCCTTAAAATCTGACCAGGGAGCCGCCAGTCATCAGGGGTAGGGGCTTTTTCAACCTACTCCCCATACCTCCTGTGCCAGCTTCCGTGGAATGCTACCAACGTGTCTCCCACTGCTCCTCCCTCTCGTAAACAGTCTTGGCCATGAAGTGTCATGTCACTGACAAGAAAGTGTGATTCCCTCATGTCTGTTCGGGCAAAAAAAGGTAGAGAATCCAAAGCAGCAGAGGCTTTTTCTGGCTGGAATCTGGTTCCTCCTCACCTGAATGACTGAGCTCAGGGATCAGAGGTCTGGGAAGTGCAGCAGCAGGAACAGCTCAGCACAGGCTGGGGTTAGCACAACAGCAGCTGTAGCCACAATCTCAGCTAAGCTTTTATTAGTCAACGAAATAATTTGAAGGAGGGGAGCACAAAAACAATTTATGTCTTCATGAGGTGAAAACAACCCCATGCTAAGTGGGGATAGATGACATGACAGGATTCAGTGAGGACTCTGAACATTAAAGGGTGATCTCATTGGAATACTAGTAATGTCCACAACAAAAGATTCCTAAGAGCTGGCGCAGTGGCTCACACCTGTAATCCAATCACTTTGGGAGGCCAAGGCAGGCAGATCATTTGAGGCCAGGAGTTCAAGACCAGCCTGGCCAACATAGTGAAACCCCCATCTCTACTAAAAATACAAAAATATGGCCAGGCACGGTGGCTCACGCCTGTAATCCCAGAACTTTGGGAGGTTGAGGTGGGTAGATAACAAGGTCAGGAGTTTGAGATCAGCCTGGCCAATACGGTGAAACCCAGTCTCTACTAAAAATACAAAGATTAGCTGGGAGTCATGGCACATAACTGTAATCCTAGCTACTTGGAAGGCTGAGGCAGGAGAATTGCTTGAACCTGGAAGGTGGAGGTTGCAGTGAGCTGAGATTGCACCATTGCACTCTAGCCTGGGTAACAAAGCGAGAATGCACCTCAAAAAAAAAAAAAAAAATTAGCAGAGTATGGCAGTATGCACCTGTAATCCCAGCTACTTAGCAGACTGAGGCACAAGAATCACTTGAACCGGGGAGGCGGAGGTTGTGGTGAGCAGAGATCACACCACTACACTCCAGTCTGGGCAACAGAGTGAGACTCTGTCTCAGAAAAAACAACAGCAACAAACAAACAAACAACAACAATAACAACAAAAGACTCCTAAGTAGTACTGCAGAAAACAAGAATTTTATCAAAACCCCAAGAGCTCTATTAGCCAGGTCCACTTGGCCCTCTGCCCCTCCGTCACCTAGTAGGACCCAGGAAGCTTGGTGGTGGGATTACGGCAGTGAAGGCTGGTGAGGGAGTCACCCGTGGCAGATCCCATGCTCCCTCACCAGCTGCCCGTAGGACACAACGCAGGAATTCAACGTGCTCCAAAGCCCTTCAGGTCTGCAAAACGACTTGTGTCACCAGAAAAGAAAATCCTAAACTGTACCTGCACCCACTTCCTGAATGAATACAACTAAACTATCACATTACAACAAATGACTTTGTTTTTCCTGTCTTGGTGACCCATCTTCTATTTGTGTCATTTGATGTTGGCAGGCCAAGGAAATTGAAGCCTCTCCTAATGACCATAATTACAATTGTAAATTTATAAATCTGCATAAATGAAATTGTTAGAACTGTTTAAACATAATCACATCATTTAGAGACCCACCATTAAAACTAGGACTGAGAAGAAAACCACTGATACCATGAGCTGTGCACAGGAGCAGCTCAGATCAAAAAGCAGCTCATGGGAGCAACTTAGATCAAATTTTTCCTAGGAAAATGTAAAACTCTCAGAAGAACCACACGTGCTAGTTTAATCCAAGCTCAGTCAACAAATAGTACTGAGGATGGTGACTTTGGAACTGATGCTTTTCTTTTTGTTTGAATCTCATCTATGTATTAGGATTGGAAATAAACGAAACAAATCCTTGAAGAGCAGGGACTGTATACACTCACCTTTTGTATCCTTCCTACCTTAACTGTACCTATCATGAAACACACAGACATACTCAAATGTTCACCTGGTTAAGTAGCTTTAGGATTTTAGGTTAACATGGTTGATACAGTGTAGTTAACAGAAGACCAAACGAAATCTACACTGTAACCATCCTTTAAAATGTCAGATAAATACCAAACTCTAATAACTACACTAGCCAAACTTGAAAGGCAAGAACTGAGTTAGCATCAACAAAGGAAGTAAGAACAGTCTGTCTGCCTGAAACCATGAAACAAATTGATGTGTAAACCTTAATTTTAAAGTCTTCCAAAAATGCTAGTCATTTCATTTCCATGCCAGATGATCTGATTACTCTTAAAACTGAAATACTGAAAATGTAGAAAGTGACATGCTGTTTGTTTTTTCTATAAAAAGGATTTTGAGGGACTTGCTAATAAAGGGTCTGACATTTCCAAATGTTAAGATTGGCTGGGTAGGTGTGGTGGCTCAAGCCTGTAATCCCAGCACTTTGGGAGGCCAAGGCGGGAGGATCAGTTGAGGTCAGGAGTTTGAGACCAAATGTTAAGACTGGCTATTCTGATTCTACTTGTACTTTCATAAGGCTTTCAAGTCACTTCTTTTCTTTTCTTTTCTTTTGAGACAGGATCTCACTCTGTCACTCAGGCTGGAGTACAGTGGCATGATAATGGCTCACTGCAGCCTTGACCTGCTGGGCTCACGTGATCGTCCCACCTCAGCCTCCCAAGTAATTGGCACTGTAGGGATGCACCACCATACCCAACTGATTTTTGTATATTTTGTAGAAACAGAGTTTCACCGTGTTTCCCAGGCTGGTCTCAAACTCTTGGGCTCCAGTGATCTACCCACCTTGACCTCCCAGTGCTGGGATTGCAGGCATGTGCCACCGCACCCAGCCTGAAGTCACACTTGAATCCCCAACATAACTCATCAGCCAGTACACATTTCATTCTGATCCTTTAACTTAGATGTGTTTCTAACTTAACAGTACTGAAGTTACCTCCAGGGTATGCAACAGAGTTTGCATACTTTACGAACTTCTCAAATATTTTTTTAAATGATTGGCACTGTGTTAAGTTTTTCAATTTAAAATAAATTCCATATTTTTCTCAAAGGAGATAAACTTACATTTCTCTCCTGAATTCTTCTATTTTTTGATTCTCTACAGTCAGGAGTTCTTTTGATTTGTTCAGCTCTTCCACATTTTTCAAGTTGTTTTCTTTAAGTGTGTCCAACTTAAAGACCAAGAGAAAAAAACTTGATGAAATTATTTCCTTTTCCAATGACACGAATGAATAAATTATTCGTTAAAATGTATATTGAAAAGATAGATGAAAATAGTCACTTGCAAAAAAAGTCTCCTGAGTCTCAGATGACAAGCCAGCCTATTACAAACTGTAAACCTCCTCCTTACATTTAGTCTGACATATCCTGTATACCCGGCCAAAATGTCAAACTAAATTGCTACGCGAAAGTCAAATTTTCTTTCATCTTGTGTACAGTTCTCAGCACTTATCACTGAACTTCCTAACCAAATATGATTCATTAAAAAAAAAAACAAGAAGTAGAATGCAAAGTAATGACATAAGCAAGGACTATTCTTTGTAATGAAGAGGAGCCCTTTTCTTTCCCCAAAGATTAGAGATTTAGGATATGATTTTTTTTTTTTTTTTTTTTGAGATGCAGTTTTTTGCTCTTGCATCCAGGCTGGAGTGCAATGGTGCAGTCTTGGATCACCACAAGCTCCACCTCCCAGGTTCAAGTAATTCTCCTGCCTCAGTCTCCCGAGTAGCTGGGATTACAGGCATGAACCACCACACCGGGCTAATTTTTTTTTGTATTTTTAGTAGAGATGGCGTTTCTCAATGTTAGTCAGGCTGGTCTCAAACTCCAACCTCAGGTGATTCACCTGCCTTAGCCTCCCAAAGTGCTGGGCTTACAGGTGTGAGCCACTGCGCCTGGCCAGGATATGAAAGTTTTCAACGTTAGTACCAGATTTACATAGTCCTCACTACAAAAATTATTTATTTGAATCAAAATTATTTGTAGATTAGACAAAAATTTAGTTACCCATCTGAACTTGAAACTGAAGAGGAAAAAGCCGTAACGTGGGACTGAAGAGCACTCACACCCACTTAGCCACATCAGTGGCCCATGGGGATGCAGCCAGATGTGGGCCTGGCCCTTGGCGGAAAGCCAGAGTTGTCACTGGGATAAGTGGGGATGTGACTGATCACAGGCTCTGGCAGGCGGCTGGAACTCTAGGTGTAGAGACCCCACCAAGGATGGTAGCTCATGTGGGCCTCCATTCCTCAAGGTGGCTCCTGGGCCTTGGGAAGTTGTCTCCTACAGCCAGAAAAGGGAGCTATCTCCTTTTGCCATGCTACATGCCACCAGTCAGGAGTCCCAGAAAGTGTCTTGCTCATTTTAAAACCAACATCTTCCTTTTAACACCTTCTAACATTCCAGATTAACAAAACAAGAAAAATAAAATATCACAATGGGTCCAAAAACACGGTTCATCCAACCCTGTGTACTGGCTATAACAAAGACACAAAGGGATCTGTGGTAGAAGGACACAGTTTCCCCAGTTCCACTGCTGCACATTCCCTAAAATCTTCTCATTTACTTCCGCTTCTAATTTTGATTAACAGCTATGTTTTTAAATGCTTTTATATTTTTAGCTTAAGTCATCTTCTCTTAGGATTGTCCCTTCTATATATGTACTCCTTCAATGTGAAGTGTTGTTATTGATCCTATCATTACCCCCAAATGTTCATCTCCTTTGAGAAGTTGATCCTTGACATCTACAACAAGGAGTCCTAGCTTTTATAGTGGCACCTCAGTTTGATCACTGCCTTCCCCTTGATTTCCTTCCTTAATGTCTTACCTGCCTGTTAATTTTAAAACCATCTGGGCCAGGCACAGTAGCTCACCCCTGTAATCCCAGCACTTTGGGAGACTGAGGCAGACGGATCGTGAGGACAGGAATTTGAGACCAGCCTGGCCAACATGGCGAAACCGTGTCTCTACTAAGAATATAAAAATTAGCCAGGCGTGGTGGTGCACACCTGTAATCCCAGCTACTTGGGAGGCTGAGGCAGGAGAATTGCTTGAACCTGGGAGGTGGAGGCTGCAGTGAGTCAAGATTATGCCATCTAGCCTGGGTGACAATAGCAGGACTCTATCTCAAAAAAACAAACAAACAAAAGCATCTGAAGTTCCATAGACTTCACATAACCATTGGTGCATCAGTCTTAGGATTTAGATAACAGCTTTCCAAACAAAGAAAGGGTTGGTATGAGCTGGGAGGGTGGGAGCAGGAAAATCAAAAGAGGAGGAAAAATGCTACAGAAGGAGAAATGCTACTTGTGGACAGAATCAAAATATCTTGACGCCACAGATTTGTCCCAGCTCCAAAAGTGACTCATTCAAGATGGTACAAAAGGAAATGAGTACTGAGCTGGGCCAAGAAAAGGCCTACATCAAACTCAGGGCTGAGGAACGAAATTTAGTGGCTCAAAGTTGGGAAAGAGAAGAGAAAAAACAATGGGTGTGATGTAAGACAAAGGATACAAAAGCTAGCGCAGGCCATCAGTACCTCCTTTTGCTAGTGCTATCACTAAATAGTGACCTTAGAAACCCACGCTATTAAGGTTTTTTCCTCAATTTGTAAAGTTTGATCCTAATAAGTAATGAAGTGATACACTTCATTAAATATTATCATGGCTCTGGCATACATTTCAAACCTGTGTAAGGCCACACTTCAAAACATAAGCAATCCTGAGTTAGTGATCAAACATTCCACGAAGTCGGTAAGCTGTTCTTTGTACAAAAAGCCATTTAAATCTGATTACTTCATTCTGTAGTTTTGCATTTGTTTGCTTGGTGTCCTCCAAGGAGGCCAGTGTCTCGGTCTTCTCTTTGGTCATCTGTTCCATTATCTGCATTGCATCTTCCGCTGTCTGAGCAGCCTAAACACAAGGAAACACTGTGAGAAATGAGGACACCCCTCACCGACATCATCAGGTAAGGATCGGGCTGTGCTGTTCAGGCAGCACTCAGTGTCTGTGCAGGTAAGGGAGGCACACAGAGAGGGTGAATCAGTCACCACTCCAGTGCTGAAACAGACAGACCAAGACAGGAAAGGTCTTTACTCTGAAGTAGAATATACAGACCCTTTCCTGCCATTTTTCAATGTCAATTGTTATGCAATTTGCATGTTTTCAGAACCTCTAAACATACATCTTCCAATGAAAGTTCCAAGTTATACTGGCAAGCATGCTTGCATCATTCTTATGCTTGAAAGACTATTCAGTGGTAACAACGAACAACATCCTTATGTAGCTGAATTTCTTGGTATCATATTTACTATTAAAAGTTTAAAATACTATCCTTGCTATTTCAAATCTGGGGCTTTTGAAGTCACTCAAATTTAGGTTGAGAATTTTTCAAATAAATATCAAAATTATTTGGGCACTTCTAACATAAGGCTGAAGTGTTTAATGAGAAGCATTTAACGCAAGCTGTGGGCAATGAATAAAAACATGGCTATGAATAAAAAGAGAGATGTGGAGACCAATTCTTAGCTGCTATAAAAAGTAATTATAAAAAGTTAGATAGGGCGGGTGTGGTGGCTCACGCCTGTAATCCCAGCACTTTGGGAGGCTGAGGCAGGGAAATCACGAGGTCAGGAGTTCGAGACCAGCCTGGTCAACATAGTGAAACCCCGTCTCTACGAAAAATACAAAAATTAGCTAGGTGTGGTGGCATGCGCCTGTAGTACCAGCTACTCAAGAGGCTAAAACAGGAGAATCGCTTGAACCCAGGAGGCAGAGGCTGCAGTGAGCTGAGATCATTCCACTGTACTCCAGGCTGGGTGACAGAATGAGACTGCATCTCAAAAGAAAAAAGTTAGATATAAAAATAATCATAAAAATAAATCAAAATATAGCCAGGTGCTGTGGCATGTGCCTATAGTCCCAGCTATTCAGGCGGCTGAGACGGGAGGATTGCTTGAGCCCAGGAGGTCAAGAGCAGCCTAGGCAACACAGCAAGATTTCCATCTTTAAAAAATAAACAAACAGGCAAGCTGCAGTGGCTCATGCCTGTAATCCTAGCACTATGGGAGGCTGAGGTGGGCGGACCATGAAGTCAGGAGTTCAAGACCAGCCTGGACAACATGATAAAACCGCTCTCTACTTAAAAAAAAAAATTACAAAAATTAGCCACGATGGTATCAGGTGCCTATAATCCCAGCTATTCAGGAGGCTGAGGCAGGAGAATCTCCTGAACCCGAGATGCAGAAGTTGCAGTGAGCCAAGATCACGCTATTATACCCCAGCCTGGGTGACAGAGAAAGACTCTGTCTTAAAAATAAATTAATTAATTAAAAAAATCCTTTTAGGCACTTGTTTATAATTTATTGGTCTAATAAAGTTTATGAAAATTCTCCATTATCCCTATCCAATTATCAGCCAGGAAGATTTCAATGGAATCTTCCAACTCCAAATGAATAGACACAATGAAATAGTTAAAAGCCAAACAGAAGACTCTCTATTTCAATATGTGCCAATTTCACCACTGCTTTTCTTTTTTTTTTCCTTGAGACGAAGTTTCACTCTTGTTGCCCAGGCTGGAGTGCAATGGCATGATCTTGGTTCCCTACAACTTCTGCCTCCTGGGCCCAAGCAATGCTCCCACCTCAGCCTCCTGAGTAGCTGGGACTACAGGAATGTGTCACCATGCCCAGCTAATTTCTGTATTTTTTGTAGAGACCGGGTTTTGCTATGTTGTCCAGGCTGGTCTCAAACTCCTAGATTGAAGCCATCTGTCTACCTCAGCCTCCCAAAGTGTTGAAATACAGGCATGAGTCATTGTACCTGGACAACTTTCACTATTGCTCCTAAGCCTTTAAGAAACCACAATTAACTTTTTCACAAAGTTTCTCATTAAATTTAAAAAGAAATCCTTTTTATTCACAGTTTGCAATTTTTTCAAATGAGGAGAGACTACTGCATTGAGATACTTGGTTAAAAAAAAATTTCCCCTTCAGAGGCAGAGGTTATGGTGAGCTAAGATCATGCCTTTACACTCCAGCCTGAGAAAAAAGAGCGAAACTCCATCTCAAAAAAAAAAAAAAAAAAAAAAAAAACTCCCTTTCAGACTGTAACAAACAGCTTGAAACATATAAGCAACTGACTTAATGAGGTGGATTTCCTTAAGCAGAAATGAAGAAAGATGACCTAGGCCACTTGAGTTAGTGCACAGTGTTAGTAAGCAGTCTGGGTGCTCAACACTTGACCTCTCACTTTACCGTAAGTGAATGAAGAGTCTCGAGCTCTCTAATTTTAAGGGTAAGCTTGCACTTGTCTTTCCTCAAAGTATGGTTTTCATTTTGAGATTCTAGGAGATTGGCTGAAATATGGCTGTTGGTTTTGGCCAACTGACTGATCTCTTTCTGAAGGATGAAATAGCTTTCTGCCAGGGTTTCCTTCTCCTTCAGGAGCTCATCCTTTTCCAGCATCATTTCGTTTTTCTCAGCCAAGAGGTTCTGGTTGTCTTGCATCACCTGGGCTTTTTCGGCCAGGGTCACCTCGTGGTTAAGCTGAAGGTCATCCAGAATCTTGGTGAGGCAACTGTGCAGTTCCTGCACTTCTGCCTTGGATTTGGACATGGCAGCAAAATCACTTTTCAGAGTCTCTATATGGGCAGCGAGTTGAACTGCTTCTGCAGTCAACAGTTCCTTCTCCTCAATGATCACTGCCATTTCTTGCTCCAATTTGGTCTTCTCTTGGCATAGCACAAACTTCTGGGACTCCAGCTCCTCAATATACACTCTTAACTCCCCCACCTCCTGCTCCAGGAGTACCATCCTCCCATGAAGTTTATTGTTTTCATACAAGGATGACTCGTTCTCCTTTGCTCTGGCTTCCTGTTCCAGGATTAAGGACTGCTGCATTTCCTGGATCTCCTCACTTAATTTCTGACACTCTTCTTGCAGGGTCAAGCCATCTCTCGGCAAAATCTTCTCAGAACAACACGTGTTAAGTTCAGCATCCAAACTCTCCTTTGCTTGCAATATGTGAGTGTGTTCTTTTTCTAGATTCTTTTTGGCATTTTGAGCCTCTTTCAGCATCAAAGACAGGTCGCACTTGCGGGCCACTAGTTCTTGGTTTTCCTTTTTTCTCTCTTGAAGCTCCTTCTTCAGAGCATCAATATTACCAAGGAGTTTCATTTTCTCATGCACCATTATCCTTCTGTTTGCAGACTCTTGATCATATTGCCTTTTGAGATCTCCTATGGCTTTGATGGAATCCTCTCTCTCTGTAAGTAAAAGTCCATTTTGTGTTTCCAGTGCGGATTTTTCTTTCAAGAGACTATCCTGCTGCTTTTCAAGTTTAGTCATTTTCTGAGAAGCCACCTCCCCCTCAGAAGTCAGGTAAGTGATCTTCTCATTCAGGATCATCTTAGTATGGACAGCCTCTTCTGCACATTTGTGGAGTTTTTCAGTGATGATTCTATTTTCACTTAAAAGTTCCTCTTTCTCTGCCAAGAGCCTTCTCTCGGAGGCAGCCAAAGTTTCTTTCTCATGCAGAAGCTGGATGTACTCGGAGTCTGTGACTGCCTGGCTGGCCTTAATTTCCTCCAAGAGCTTCATAAGGCTTGTGTTTGTGGCCTGGAGTTGCATGGTCTCCAGCTCTGCCTTCCTCAAGGCCTTGCTGGTATCATCCAGCTGTAAACGGAGTCCACTGGCCTCTGAGCGGAGCAGCTCTTTGACCTGGAGGGCAGCCTGGAGGCTGGCATTCAACTTTTCCTGATCTTGAAGCAGCATGTCCTTCTCTAACTGCAGATCTCTGCTGTTTTGAAGAACATTATCTCGTTCTACCTTTAAGGATATGCACGTGTTATCAAGATTGGACAGTTTCTCTAAAGCTGACTTTTTCTCAGCTGTGAGATCTTCAATCTCCTGTATCAAAGTTTTCTGATCTTTGACTAGCTCCTCATAAGAGCTTTGAAGCTTCTGAATGATGTCATCCTTATCTTTGGCCAAGATGAAGTTTTCGGTAGTAAGTTTCTTGATCTGGTCCTCCAGGTGATCTTTTTCTTCCTGGTCCTTCTCAGTCTTAGCAATCAAAGTATCTTTGCTCAGCTGGAGTTCTTTGATGAGGGCCTGCATGCTCACCTTAGAAACTTGCAAAGAGTCATTTTCCACATTTATCTTCAAGAGTTCTTCCTGTGCTACGTTGATGTCTTTCAGCAGTTTCTCCTTCTCAACAGCCAAACCTTCTCTACTGAGATGTTCTTGGTCATAAAGCTTTTCAGCATCTTGCTTTTCTTCTAAGAATTTCTCCTTTTCTAAATTAAGAGTTTCATTCACTGACCACAGTTTCTGCTGGTCTCCCTGACGTAAAGCTATTTTGGCCTCCACTTCTATAAGCTTGGATAAAAGTGAACCGTTTTCTAACTTTAAATCATTTCCCTCCTGCGAAAGAAGCTGCTTCTCTGATTTCAGATCCCTCAGCTCTTCTGTCATTAGTTCAATTTCTTTTTTGGCTGATGTTAACAAATAAGTTAGTGACTACAGAAACAAAAGATGGAAAGAATGGAAACACAAATGAAATCAAGCAGAAAAATGCAAGCCCAAATAACCTAATGTAACTTATATGATAAAAGCTTTAAAATTTCTACAATAAACTTTATAGAAACTATCTGAATAACAAGGGAAAGAAACTAAACAGAGCCCACAAAAGATAATTCAAAAGTGTAGCTTTGTAAAGTGCTTCCATATCTGCTAGCTTATTTTATCTTTGAAACAACTTGTGAAATTATTTCCAGTAGCTACCTAAAAGATAAAAATAGTAGCTTGATTTTGATATCAGGGCATAAGATTCTTTCCTGCCATTCCTATTATCTAATTATTTTGAATGCAGAAAAGATTCATAGAAGAATTTTTAAAAATACAATTAAAGAAGTACGTAAAGTCAGTATATGTTAATGAAAAAAGGAAGGGGCCTAACAAAAAAAATAAACTATTGCCTTGCAAACTCACCACAGGACCTTACTTAAGGACAGCCATGGGGCTGAGAGTGATTTAGTCCGAATGTCACATATAAACATAAAAACTAGTCTAAATTCTAGGCTTTGATAACTAAAATAAAGTGTTTTTTTTTAATTTATAGAGTTATAAGATAATTTGAGCACAGTGTCTATACTAGTGCTGTCTGGAACTTTTTGCAATGATACACTTTTTTTGAGACTGTGTCTTGCTCTACTGTCCAGGCTGGAGTGCAATGGCATGATCTCAGCTCACTGCAACATCCACCTCCCAGGTTCAAGCTATTCTCATGCCTCAACCTCCCGAGTAGCTGGGATTACAAGTGCCTGTCACCATGCCCAACTAATTTTTGTGTTTTTAGTAGACACACCACATTGGCCAGGCTGGTCTCCCTCCTTGACCTCAAGTGATCCACCTGCCTCGGCCTCCCAAAGTGCTGGGATTATAGCCGGGAGCCACAGTGCCGGCTGATATAAATGTTCTTTTTACACTCGCATAATGGTGACCATATGACTACTGAGCACCTGAAATGTGGTGAGTGAATGAGGAGCTAAATTTGTAATTAAAATATGACAAATTTAAATTTATTTATTTATTTATTTATTTATTTATTGGAGACAAGAGTCTCACTCTGTGGCCTAGGCTGGAGGGAAGTGGCATGATCTTGGCTCACTGCAACCTCTGCCTCCCAGGTTCAAGTGATCCTCTTTTAGGCATATTCAAAAATGGAGAATACAATGTTGGCCACATATATTCCCATATTAAGGTTTTTATTTTTATTTATTGATTGATTTTTTGAGATAGAGTCTTGCTCTGTCACCCAGGCCAGAGTGAAGTGGCACCATCTCAGCTCTCTGCAACCTCTGCCTTCCAGGCTCTAGGGATTCTCCTGCCTCAGCCTCCCAAGTAGCTGGGACTATGGGTGCATGCTGCCAGACTGATTTTTTGTATTTTTAGTAGAGACAGGGTCTCACCATGTTGTCCAAGGTGGTCTCAAACTCCTGAGCTCAGGCAATCTGCCCACCTGGCCTCCCAAAGTGCTAGGATTACAGGCATGAGCCACCAGGCCTGGCTACAAATTTAAAGTTGAATGGCTTCACCTGGCTGGTGGCTACTGTATTAAGCAGCATAGTTATAGACCACTTGCTCTTAAAAGTAGGGAATAAGGAGGCTTTGTGGGCACCATGAACCTTGTTGAGTGGACATGTAAACTTTCCTGGAAAAATATCTGTAGATTTCATTAAATTTTTCCAAAGAGTCCGGGACTGATAAGAGCCACTGAAATCAGATACCAGACAACTTTGGAGGGAAACAGTCCTGGTATTTTAACTCAATGACCCTTGCACAAAACAACCAACAAAATTAGTGAGACCAGCCAGGAATTGTGGCTCACACCTGCAGTTCCAGCACCTTGGGAAGCTAAGGCAGGTGGATTGCTTCCATCTAGCGATTCAAGATGAGCCTGGGCAACATAGTAGAGATTCTGTTTCTACAAAAAATAAAAAATTAGCCAGGTATATTGGTACATGTCTTTAGTCCTCGATACTTGGGGGGCTGAGGCAGGGGGATCACTTGAGGCTGCAGTGAGCCATGACTGTCCTCTGGTACTCAGCCTAGGTGACAGAGTAAGACCTTGTCTCAAAAGACAAACAAAAAAACTGAGGAGACCTTAAAACAGTTCTAGAATGCTGTGGTTTGCTCAGGCTGCAACATTTTAAAGGCAATACAAAAAAAAAAAAAAAAAGAACCTGAAGTCTTCCCAGATAAAAGAAAGCACAAAGACAAAAGATCTGGGAATTATATCTAGTGCTAAATGGCACATAAAACTGGAGGTGTTTCAGAGAAAGAAGAGAAATCCTCAACTATCAGAGTGTAGAAGAGGGAGAATATGGATTTCACAGATGACACGCATGGCACACTCATACCATGTCATGTCCACTTAGCAGGAGGTTTTTCATGGGATTGGTTTCAAGTCCTACAATGCTCTTTTATCATTTCTACTAAACTCCTATAACACATTAAAAATAAATAAAAATGAATATTTACTTTCCTTTGAGCAATAAAAAGTTAAATAGTGGGAAGGTTGAACTTCATGAAGTTACCAGAGTCACAAAATGTACTGGGCAGGCCATGCACGGTGGCTCACACCTGTAATCCCAACACTTTAAGAGGCTGAAGTGGGAGGTCTGCTTGAGCCCAGGAGTTTGAGACCAGCCTGGGCAACATAGCAAGACTCCAGTCTCTAAAAAGAAAAATTTATGTATAGGGCCCAGATACAATCCTGAAACCATAAAATAAAATCCAACATATGGAGTTCTGCTCTATCTACTACTAACAGGATGTTTCCTCCTTGCCCTTGAATCCAGCTTCCTTGTCATTAAGCTCATGGTACCTTCCTGGGGACACATAAAAGCCCCTCTGTAAGTTCTCAATTTTAAGAGCTCTGTTCCTCCAAGCAGGCTCTCTCTCGTCCTGATTCCTTGCTCACTTGCTTCATGTGAGCTCTGCCTCTTGCTTTATTGCGTCTCTCCTAACCTAGTGCAAGGCAGCAACAAGCATGGCCAAGATTAGAGCAACAGGCAGGCAAGCAGAGCTCAGGCAGCGTCAGAACCTTTATGACAGCTGGGAAACAGGCAGCACAGGGCTGACAGCTGCACCATCCATTCCAGGAAAGACAGACCCATAGCCATCATCGACCCTCAGAAGGAAACGCAGCTGGCACAAAACACTTGAAGTCATAGGAAATGTAACGTGCCACCCTGCCATGCACTCAGAAGAGTAACGTTTATAGAGGCCACCTTAACTTGTCCCACTGACTGCTGCATTCTAAGCACCCTTCCTGCCTTGACAAAGAGCTCAGGCAAGCTACAACACAAGGCAATTCTCTCCCGTCGCATACTTTGGCTTTATCAGCTTGCTTTCTCAGGTCCTTCAGCTCCTGCAGCAAGCCACTGTTCTCCTCTTGTGCGGCCTTCAGCTTGTCCTCTGTGTTCAGCAGCGTCTTCTGGAGGTTCTGTAATATTTCTTCATGCTTGGTTTTTGTCTCAGAAGTGGCTTTCTCATAGCTGGCTTTCAGATCCTGACACTGGTTGTGGCTCGTTTCCATCTTCTTTTCCTGCAGAGACCCCAAGTGAGGGAATGAGTCATCCAGCCATATGTATACTGCCCCTTGCCTTCCTTGCCAGCAAACAGGCCCACTGAGTCTCTCCTTACCAGGTCAAACAATTTCTTCTCCAATTCTTTCTTTTCTTCCTCATGCTTTTTAGCTGCTTCTTGCTGGCTCTGTTCAGCTTTGAGAGTCACATCCTCAATACTTTTTTGCAGAAAACTTGCATTTTCATTAGCTTTTGAAAGTTTGAGCTGTAATTCTTCCACATATCTAGAAAAAGTTTCAATACAAGATGTCAGATTTTTCATAGGAATGTTTTAAATTTAAGATTTATATTAAAATATACTATTAATAACAATTGTATTAATAATTTTTAATTTTTATTTTTATTTTGAGATGGAGTCTCCCTCTCATCACCCAGGCTGGAATGCAGTGGTGTGATCTTGGCTCATTGCACCCTCTAACAACTAAAATAGGCAAAAAAAATTTTTAATGCTTTGCCTAAAGAATCATTTTACCGGCTGGGTGCAGTGGCTCACGCCTGTAATCCTAGCACTTTGGGAGGCCGAGGTGGGTGGATCACCTGAGGTCAGGAGTTCAAGACCAGCCTGGCCATCATGGTGAAACCCCATCTTTAAAAAGAAAAAAAAAAAATGAATCATTTTACCAATTATGATAAGTAATTATTTAGAGTAACAACTACTATAACTGTGAAGGTTTACTATTTTATGTCAATAGATCAAAAAAAGAAAAAAAAGTAAAAAATAAACATATTAAAGGAACTGAGCCCAGGCATGGTGGCTCATGCCTATAATCCCAGTACCCTGGGAGGCCAAGACAAGTGGATCACTTAAGTTCAGGAGTTCAAGACCAGCCTGGTCAATATGGCAAAACCCCATCTCTACTAAAAATACAAAAATCAGCCAGGTGTGGTGGCACCTGGATTACAGGATTACATTCCTGTAATCCCAGCTACTCAGGAGGCTGAGGCAGGAGAATTGGTTGACTCTGATAGAGTGAGGTTGCAATAAGCCAAGATTGAGCCACTGCAGTCCAGCCTGGGCAACAAAGTAAGACTCTGTCTCAATTAAAAACAAATAAATGAAATGGGCATTTTAATATTTTAGCATACTAGATTACCAAAAATTCATTTTAGTGCTTCTGAAGAAAAGAAGATACAAAAATCACAATAAATAACTCAAAGTTTTACCTTAAAGAGACCATGTGGTTGAACAAAAATATATTTAAAAAACATGGGACATTGACCTAGAAAACAGACTATCAGAACAGTCACAGATACAGGAGGGAAACTTGGGGGTAATCCTAGATTTTACATTCACAAAACACCTATAAAATGGAGCTTCTTGGAGGCACTGAGCCACCACCAGCTGTGCAGCGGCACCACCTCAAGGCAAGTTTGACCACAGTTGCCCAACCAAGGCCTGGCCACCACTCAGCACTGACTGAATTATGTGGGGGTGAAAGGTTGGATATATTAATAAATAGAGCTTTGCAGCCGGGTGCAGTGGCTCATGCCTGTAATCTCAGCACTTTGGGAGGCCAAGGCGAGAGAATCACGAGGTCAGGAGTTCAAGATCAGCCTGGCCAACATGGTGAAACTCTATCTCTACTAAAAATACAAAAAATTAGCTGGGTGTGGTAACGGATGCCTGCAATCTCAGCTACTCGGGAGGCTGAGGCAGGAGAATCACTTGAACCCCGGAGGCGAAGGCTGCAGTGAGCAGAGATCGTGTGCCATTGCACTCCAACCTGGGTGACAGAGACAGACACTCTCTCTCAAAAAAAAAAAAAAAACAAAACAAAAAAGAACTTTGCAGATATTAACACTTTTAGGAAGTAGAAGTCTAATGCCTACAGACTTCATTTATAAATCTTTGCCTTATAAATTATTTGATTTTTATATGACAGCCATTAAAAGAAAACGATCAAAGCAACAAGAATTCCAGAATAAAGACAAGAACAGATATTAAGACAGAAGAAACTTGAGCACTGAGGAAGTACAATGCAGTTATTAAGAGCAGGAAGGGCTCTGGGACCAGACTGCCCAGATCTGAAACCTCAGGCTTTACCCCACTAAGCCTCAGTTTCCCTTCCTCCCTGCTTCTCTCCCTCCCTCCCTTCCTTATTTTTTAATTTTAATTTTATTAATTTTTTTTTTTTGAGACAGAGTTTCACTCTTGTTGCCCAGGCTAGAGTGCAATGGCGCGATCTCAACTTACTGCAACCTCTGCCTCCCAGGGTCAAGTGATTCTCCTACCTCAGCCTCCCAAGTAGCTGAGATTACAGGCATATGCCACCACGCCCAGCTAATTTTGTATTTTTAGTAGAGAAAGGGTTTCTTTATGTCAGTGAGTCTGGTCTCAAACTCACGACCTCAGATGATCCACCTGCCTCAGACTCCCAAAGTGCTGGGATTACAGGTGTGAGCCACCACCCTTGACCTTATTTATTTATTTCTTTGAGATAGAGTCTAGCTCTGTCGCCAAGGCTGAAGTGCAGTGGTATGATCCTGGCTCACTGCAACCTCCGCCTCCTGGGTTCAAGTGATTCTCCTGCCTCAGCCTCCCAAGTAGCTGAGATTCCGGGTGTGTGCCACCACACCTGGCTAATTTTTGTATTTTTAATAGCAATAGGGTTTCACCGTGTTGGCCAGGCTGGTCTCAAACTGCTGACCTCAGGCGATCTGTCCGCCTCAGCCTCCCAAAGTGCTGGGATTACAGGCGTGAGCCACCAAGCCCGGCCTATTTTTCTTTTTCTTTGAGATGGAGTTTTGCTCTTGTTGCCTAGGCTGGAGTGCAATGGCACAATCTTGGCTTACTATAACCTCTACCTCCCGATTCAAGTCATTCTCCTGCCTCAGCCTCCTGAGTAGCTGGGATTTTAGGGATGCACCACCACACCCAGCTAATTTTGTATTTTTAGTAGAGACGGGGTTTCTCCATGTTGGTCAGGCAGGCCTCGTACTCCTGACCTCGGGTGATCTGCCCGCGTTGGCCTCCCAAATTGCTGGGATTACAGGGGTGAGCCACTGTGCCTGGCCTCTTTTTCCTTAGAATGGGAATAATGCTAAACTCACCTCCTCTCACCTCATAGGATAATGATAAGAATTAGAAAGCTGTTAACACAGTGCATAGCCCATAGTGATAGGTAATATGTGTTTCCCATTAACATAAGTTAAGGTCAGGCATGGTAGCTCACGTCTGTAATTCCAGCACTTTGGGAGGCCGAGGCAGGCAGATCATTTGAGGTCAGGAGTTCAAGACCAGCCTGGCCAACATAGTGACCAGTAGAAACCCCATCTCTACTATAAATACAAAAATCAACTGGGTATGGTGGCGCACGCCTGTAATCCCAGCTACTTGGGAGGCTGAGGCAGAAAAATCACTTGAATCTGGGAAGTGGAGGCTGCAGCGAGCAGAGATTGAGCCATTGCACTCCAGCCTGGGCAACAGAGTGAGACTCTATCTCAAAAAAAAAAATGTTAAAAATATTTTTAAATGCCTGTAAAAGATATTATTGCCATTAGTGAACTACTACCTTTTCTTTTTTCTTCTTTCTTTTTAGATAGAATCTTGCTCTGTTGCCCAAGGTGGAGTGCAGTGGCACAATCTCAGTTCACTGCAACCTCCACCTCCTGGGTTCAAGTGATTCTCCCATCTCAGTCTCCTGAGTAGCTGGGATTACAGGCAGACACCACTATGTCCAGCTAATTTTTGTATTTTTAATAGAGACAAGGTTTCACCATGTTGGCCAGGCTAGCCTCAAACTCTTTACCTCAAATGATCCAACCACCTTGGCCTCCCAAAGTTCTGGGATTATAGGCATGAGCCACTGCGCCCAGCCTTATTATCTTTTCTTTGCAAGTCACCAAATGGTCTATAAATAATATTTTATTCCTTAATTCTGTTGTTCTTGACAAGTAAGATAGGTAAAACCCATTTTAGAGGTTAAATAGTTTATTCAAGGACACAATGAGGTAACAATAGAAAGGAACAGAGATGGGAGACTTTAAAATGTAATAATCCTAAACATTTGTCTTCCCTCCCACCTAGATCTTCCCACAGAGCCTAAGGAGGGCACTCTTATCAACAGTCATCTATACCTTTCTTTCAGACGTAATTCATCATTCATTTTCATCAGCTGAGAAGAGTTATCTCCTGACATCTTCATTATTTCTGCAATGTCATTTTCCAGTTTTTCCTTTGCCTTTATCAGCTGCTCTTCTCGCTCATCTTTCTCTTTAAATTTTGCCTCCATATCTAAATATGTAGAGAAAAAAAAGAATAGCACGGCTGTGTCATAATCAACAAAAACTGACTGAGTGCATCCTTGCTCTGGTAATATTTTCACAAAGCAATTTCTGTCCTCATAAAAAGCACATTCTAGTGAAGAAGGCAGACAATAAGAAAGATAAAGGAAAGAAATCGTAGAATTAATTAAGTGCTAAGAGGAAGAAAAATCAATGCAGGGAAAGGAGCTGGGAAGAAGGTTAGAATCTTAGATGGCGCTTCCCTGAGGTGGTGAAATGGAAGGGAAAACCTGAAGGAAGTGAGGGCACAGGGAAAAGCAAGCACATAGGCTCTGCGGCAGGAACACGCCTAATACGTCCAAGCACGAGCAAAGAGGCTGAGGTGGCTGGAGTGGAATGAGCAGGGAATGGGGGTCCCAGATGAAATCTGAGAGGTAATAGGGCCTGATCGTGGTAAGGACCACAGCTCTTTCCCTGTGTGGGATGGGAGCTGCTGGACAACCTTGAGCAGAGAAGCGACATGATCTGACTTCATATTAAAAGGATTGCTCTGGCTGTGGTGTGAACAGACTGAAGCAGGCATGGGCAGCAGCAGTGAGCCCAGGTGGTCAGCTGCTATGGTAGCTCAGGGTAAAGACGGCCGTTGGCTTGGAGCAAGGACAGCAGTGGGAGTGGTGAGATGCAGCAGATTCTGGCTCTCGTGAAAACAGAGCAAAGAGGACTCGGTGTAGTACAGATCTCAAACAAGTACTTGATCATGTTTTTATGTCACCATAATGAGTAAAGAGGCTATGCTTGAATAGTACATTTGTTATGTAACACCCTACAATTGTCTCAAATATGAGGAAGCCTACTGTATTTAATGTTTCGTCACCAGAGATGTCTTCTTACCTGCTAAGTTTTCTCTCAGCTTCTCCAAGTCAGAAGACAGCTTGGTAAACTGTTCCTCCTTTTGGTGTAACTTATTTACAGTTTCTATTTAGGATAAAGTTAGAAGTTTAATAAGCTTCATATTTAATAAGGTATCTGGATCAAATCATATGTTCAAGAGATCTGAGAACACAGGAATACTCAAAAATCCTCTTACAAATCACACTGCCGGGTGCGCATCCTGAAAAAAGCAGGTCTGCCGCTCTCTCTGGCCTCCCCAAATCTGTACTTTAGAGAGGCACCAGGCCCTTTCCACTTATCTCTTTCCCCCTTCCAATTAAAACTCAATAAAGCTGTTAATGATGAAAACATAAATAACACCAAGAATATTTCCATTTTAATGTAGAATAAGCCTTAAGCCAGAAGAAGAAAAAATTAATTGGGAGGTTGAGGCTTCAGGAAACCAGTGGAAGCCAGTATTTCTGAGCGCGGCAGGAACTTCCAGGAGAGTGAAATTAGGCTACAGGCAGCGTCTACTCTGTGCACTCCACAGGCCAGCTCCAGTTTAAGAGTACGGTATTCTTTAAAGCGATCTACGCGAGCTCTAGTAAGACATACCTTGCATACTTCTCTGAACAGAGACTGCCTCCTCCGAAGCTTCAGCAAACTTTTCTTTCTAAAGAAAAAGAACCAGAGATTCTGAACAGAAAGATTTCACATTGTAAAGATAAGGAGTTTTATCAGTTATAACTACAATACTATAGACTTTTTGTTGCTGGTCTTGTTTTATTAAAACGAATATACATGAAACATGTGATGCCAATTGCTACCACATGTGGGTCATACACATGTGCATGGATACACACAAATGAGTGCAGTTTGCATGTGTGTGTGTGCACACATGGGAAGGCATCACCTGCATGCACCTGTAGGCATGTTCATACCTAGGAAAGTACATGCATGTGTGTATACACATGGTGCATGTGTATGCTTCAAGTAGCTTCAAGTTGCTACCCCTCAAACAGCAGCCCTTCTCTTCAGAAATCTGCCTGAGATGGTGAACAGAGCTCTGAAATTTGTTATTTCTGGGAGTAATCTGAGTGTAATATCTTGAATCTAGGTCGGTGTCGCTACTTTTTAAACTGAAAAGGTCCGTCAGTCACTTACTGTTCAAGGACTTCATTTCTAAACATAACAATAGGCCAAGTTAAAAATCACTATCCTGGTTGTCCTGAGATGAACTTTGAGCTAGCTACATCAAGAGGATTGTTACATGAGTGTTTCTAACTAGCCGGGATTAAGATGGGAAAAGATGGCGTAGGAACCACAGTGCATCCAAGCCCACAGGCTGCCCCCTGTGCATTCCCACAATCACACTCAAGGTAGCATGTCTTGTCCTAAGACATACAGAAGGATACTCTAACTTGGGGGCGGGGAAAAGGCAAGGTTTCCTAAAAGCTTTGGAAGGAGGGCAGAGAAACGATGAACTCTAAACATTTTCTCTTTTTTGAGACAGAGTTTCGCTCTTGTTACCCAGGCTGGAGTGCAATGGCGCTATCTCGGCTCACCGCAACCTCCGCCTCCCGGGTTCAGGCAATTCTCCTGCCCCAGCCTCCCGAGTAGCTGGAACTACAGGCGTGCACCACCATGCCCAGCTAATTTTTTGTATTTTTAGTAGAGACGGGGTTTCACCATTTTGACCAGGATGGTCTCGATCTCTTGACCTCGTGATCCACCCGCCTCGGCCTCCCAAAGTGCTGGGATTACAGGCGTGAGCCACTGCACCTGGCCTCAAAACATTTTCTTAAAGGACACCAGGCTGGGCGCAATGGCTCACGCTTGTAATCCCAGCACTTTGGGAGGCTGAGATGGGAGGATCACTTGAGGTCAGGAGTATGAGATCAGCCTGGCCAATGTGGTGGAACCCCATCTATACTGAAAATATGAAAATTAGCTGGGTATGGTGATATGCACCTGTAATCCCAGCTACTCAGGAGGCTGAGGCAGGAGAATCTCTTCAACCTGGGAGGCGGAGGTTGCAATGAGCAGAGATAGCACCACTGTACTCCAGCCTGGACAAGAGAGAAAGGAAGAAAGAAAAAAAAAGAAGGAAAAGGAAAAGAAAAAAAAGAAACAAAGGGAGGGAGGGAGAGAGGGAGGGAACGTAAGAAAGAAAGGAAGAAAAAAGAAAAGAAAGGAAGAGCCATACACTTTTATTCACACTGTTAATAGCACAGAAGTGTAATGAATGGGGTATAGGAAGGGATGTGGAGGACCTGGGACAGCTGACCCTGCATGGCTCATGTGCCTCTTGTCGAGTTTCTCCATAAGCCTCTGGCTTTTCTTTCCATGGTGTGTGGGTGGGCACCATTGGCACTCTTTGTGAATATCAGCCTTGTTTAAACTTGGTTTTAAAGTGCAGGAGGCAAGTAGGAAGGAACAAAGTTGAGAAAAGGCAAAATATATACATATATATGTAATACAAGCTGAGATTGAGGAAAGAGAAAACATGAAAGGGAGGGTAATTTTCTGAGGTGGAATAAACTGAGTTAGATTTCTTTGAATTTGTTTAAATAGACGGCAAGCATTCTACCTCACCAAAGGAGGGCGCTGATGGTCCAGGACGGCTGCTGCCCTGTGAGTCACAGATCAAGTTGGAGAAAGCACAGTTTAGGTGCCTCATTCAGTATGAAACCTAACTGTATTTGATGTATAACTTGGAAGGGCTCTGTGTTTAGCAAAACTAAGTAGTCAATAACATTTCAAAGCAGTGCATTAACAAAGGCAATGGGATAGATTAAAAAAAAAAAAAAGTAATACCTACCTTGGCTGTTAGTTTGGGTTTGATCTGACTCCCCTTGAGGGACAATTATTTTCCAGCCAATAACTAATACACTCAACCTGAATCAACACTTAGAAAGAGAAGGCAAACAACTACAATATTTCTTACTGCAGGATTTTTTTAAAACAGGAAATGGCCAGAAACCCTGAGATTCAGATTCCCAACAGGTACTTACCAAAATCTGAAGTTCTTTTTCCAAAGTTTCTTTCACTTGACTGACTTCACTCAAATTTTCCTGAAGGTTAGTAAGCTTTAGCTCTCTCCCCTGGAGCTCTTTGGTAATGCTACTAGCCTAACACACAGAGTTACATGGTATAGAAGCAAATGAACAAAAGGAAAACAAAAAAGAATGAGAAGAACAAAAAATAAATGTAAAAAATTTATGAGCAACATAACAAAACAAAACTGAAAGGAATACAACAAATTTGGGGTTGGTTTTTAATTCTTTTTGTTGTTGTTGTTTTGTTTTTTGTTTTAATCTTTTTTGTTTTGTTTTTTGAGACGGAGTTTTGCTCTTGTTACCCAGGCTGGAGTGCAATGGCGCGATCTTAGCTCACCGCAACCTCTCCACCTCCTGGGATCAGGCAATTTTCCTGCCTCAGCCTCCTGAGTAGCTGGGATTATAGGCATGCACCACCATGCCCAGCTAATGTTTTGTATTTTTAGTAGAGACGGGGTTTCACCATGTTGACCAGGATGGTCTCGATCTCTTGACCTCGTGATCTACCTGCCTCGGCCTCCCAAAGTGCTGGGATTACAGGCGTGAGCCACCACACCCGGCCATCTTGTTGTTTTTTAATTCTAAGAGGTCAAGAACTTCTTAAACAATCAGTTCTATATATGATTTTCTAGTGGCTTTGTTTTTGAGACAGAGTCTTCCCTGTTACCCAGGCTGGAGTGCAGTGGCATGATCATGGATCACTGCAACTTTGAACTCCTGGGTTCAAGTGATCCTCCAGCACCAGCCTCATAAGCAGCAGGGATTATAGGCACATGCCACCATAGCTAATGTTTAAAAAATATTTTTTGAGATGGGGTCTCTGGCTGGGATTGGTGGTTCACGCCTGTAATCCCGGGAGGCGGAGGCAGGTGGATCATTTGAGATCAGGAGTTCGAGACCAGTCCGGCCAATATGGCAAAACCCCATCTCTACTAAAAATACAAAAATTAGCCGGGTGTGGTGGTGTGCACTTGTAATTACAGCTACTCGGGAGGCTGAGGCAGAAGAATCGCTTGAGCCTGTGAGGTGGCGGTTGTGGTGAGCTGAGACTGCACCAATGCACTCCAGTGTGTGAGTGACAGAGTGAGACCCTGTCTCAAAAAAAAAAAAAGAGAGAGAGATGGAGGTCTCATCATGTTACCCAGGCTGGTCTCAAACTCCTAGACTCAAGCAATCCTCTTGTCTTGGCCTCTCAAAGTGCTAGGATTAGAGATGTGAGGCACTGTGCCCAGCGGCCATTTTTAAATAGTCAAAATGGACTATTTGTCTAGACTTCATTGTAATTTGGAATATCAGCATGATCTGAAGCAGAAAGTATGGATGCTTACTTTCTAAATGAGCTACTTGAGCAATTTCATTTCCTAGACTTTAAAAACCTTAAGGCCTGACGCAGTGACTCACACCTGTAATCCCAGCACTTTGGGAAGCCGAGGGGGGCAGACCTCACCTGAGGTCAGGAGTTCGAGAATAGCCTGGCCAACATGACCTGACTCTACTAAAAATATTAAAATTAACCAAGTGTGGTGGCATGTGCCTATGATCCCAGCTACTCAGGAGGCTGAGGCAGGAGAATCCCTTGAGCCTGGAGGGCAGAGGTTGCAGTGAGGGCAACAGAGTGAGACTCTGTCTTAAAAAATAAATAAATAAAACAAAAACCTTAAGATCGGAATGGAATATATGTGGGCTACATTATTTTCTCTATTTTTGTATATGCGTAAAGTATTTCAACATTTAAATAAAAATGAAATTTAAAAATCCACTGGACAGGCTGGGCTGGACAGGCCGGGCTGGACAGCTCAAGACTGTAATCCCAGCACTTTGGGAGGCCAAGGCAGGTGGATCACATGAGGTCAGACCACCCTGGCCAACATGGTGAAACCCTGTCTCTACTAAAAATACAAAAATTAGTCCGGCATGGTGGCAGATGCCTGTAATCCCGGCTACTCAAAAGGCTGAGGCAAGAGAGCCGCTTGAACCTGGGAGGCGGAGGTTAAAGTGAGCTGAGATTGCACCACTACAGTCCAGCCTGAGTGACAAAGTGAGACTGTCTCAAAAAAAAAAAAAAAAAATCCACTGGATAATAGTCATTAGAACTTGGCTTTCATGAAATCTTGATGTGAAAAAGTAAACATTAGCTAAATATTATCTAATTAATTTTTGTGTTTTGATTAGTATTTTGGTACCACATGGAGATTTGAGAAAAATTTCCTGTAAGCAGTTTGTCACCTTCAACTATGGTTAGTTTAGCAATTTTTTGCTGTTTGTCAGTCCTCACCTCACCCCATTTAACTATCACAACCCTTCCTTCTTTGCCGAGAGCAGCTTCTCCCACAAAAAGCTCAGAACATTCAGCATCAATACCAGCGCCTCAACTAGTAGCAGGACAGGGAAAGAATTCCTCGAACCACCCTTAAAAATAAAGATGACATTTAACAAGCCTAGTTAGTAAGAAATGCAGCTGGCGAATGTTTCACGTAATTTCCTAAGCCTTGACCAAATGCACACTTGTTCAATATTTCCCCCAGTAAAAGAGGGGACAGATTTTATTCTCGTTGTGCCACAGAAAAAATTCCAAAGAGTTTCTTTGCCATGCAAAGTGCTCCAGGCTCTTATCCTTAATTTTGCTGTGAACATTATTTATCACAGCATGTTTTTTTGTTTGTTTGTTTTTGTTGGAGATCAAGTTTTGCTCTGTCACCCAGTGGTACAATCTCAGCTCAATGCAACCTCTGCCTCCCGGGTTCAAGTGATTCTTGTGCCTCAGCCTCCCGAGTAGCTGGGACTACAGGTGCATACCACCACGCCTGGCTAAGTTTTTTATTTTTAGTAGAGAGGGGCCAGGCTGGACTCTAACTCCTGACCTCAAGTGATCCACTTGCCTCGGCCTCCCAAAGTGCTGGGATTACAGGTGTGACCACCTCGCCTGGCCAACATGTTAATTTTAATAGCCAAGAAGCATTGAGCTCACATTCTGTTTTTATACATAACCCTATAGATAAGGCAATTACAGTCATGCATTGCTTAAAGGGACCAGGATACCTTCTGAGAACGGCATTATTAGGCAATTCCACTGTCATGTGGACATCACAGGGTGTACTTACACACACCTAGAAGGTATAGCCTACTACACACCTGGGCTACATGGTACAGCCTATTGTTCCAAGACTATAAATCTGTATAACATGTTACTGTACTGAACACTGTAGGCAACTGTAACACAATGCTGAGTATTTGTGTATTGAAGCATATTTAAACATACAAAGGTAAAGATACCATATTATAGTCTTATGGAACCGCCTTTGTTTATGTGGTCCACTGTTGATTGAGACATCATTATGTGGCACCTGACTGTGTATGGCTAGGAAAGGAGATGATCTTTTAAGTTTCTTTTTTTTTTTTTTTTTTTTTTTTTTAGGATGGGCTTTCACTATGATGGCCAGGCTGGTCTTGAACTCCTGGGCTCCGGTAATCCACCCACCTTGGCCTCCCAAAAGTGCTAGGATTACAAGCATGAGCCACCGTGCCCGGCCCTTCTTTTTTTTTTTTTTTTTTTTAATACAGAGTCTTGCTCTGTCACCGAGGCTGGAGTGCAGTGGCCTAATCTCAGCTCACTGCAACCTCCACCTCCCAGGTTCCAGAGATTCTCCTGCTTCAGCCTCCCAGGTAGCTGGGATTACAGGCATCCACCACCATGCCCAGCTAATTGTGTATTTTTAGTAGAGATGTGGTTTCGCCATGTTGGCCAGGCAAGTCTCAAACTCCTGATCTCAGGTGATCCACCCATTCCAGCCTCCCAAAGTGCTGAGATTACAGACATGTGCCACTGTGCCCAGCCAATCTTTTTTTTTAAACTTAACCCAAAGAATAGTCATCTAGATGACAATCTTTTAAGTTTCTGTTCATTCATTCATCTTAACACCACAGTGTTAGGGCATTCTTATTTTAAATAGAGTATAGGCTGGAGCTAAGCTTAAAGAAGAGGTCACAGCATAGCCCAGAGATTAATAGATAAGGCACCCAGATAATAGGCAACCAAAATAAATTCACGTGGTTAAGCCATTATTTTCTCTGACCTCCTCAGATGAAACCGTACTCAGAACATACTACACTACACTCAGCTGGGGACATCAAGCAATTTAAATCAGCAGTTTGGAAGATGAATGACCTCAACTCAAAAGTAACAAAGCAAAATAAGAATAATAAATGGAAAAGAAAAAAATGGAGGATGTCAATACAAACCTTGCTACTTTCAGCATTCTTTTCCATCTCTAAATGTTTAATCTGTTTCTCAGCTGCCTCAAGCTGCTGTCTAAGTTTCTCAATTTCCGATTTACCTTCGGAACTGGCTTTCCGAAGTGCATCAAGATCCAAGAGCTTTTCTTCGGTAGCCTTGAGCTGTGATGTAAAATTATCAATAACCTTAGTTTGTTCATTGCATTTGGCTTGCAGTACCTCTAGCTCCTTTACCTTTATTTCAGCTTCCTGTAATTTGTTTAATGTTTCTTCCATTTCTACGAGATGCTGGTCTTCCGCTTTGTCCAGTTTTGACTTGATGGCTTCCAGGCTGTTCTCCTTTTCTTTAATGACTTTCATCAGTTTAGCCCTCAGGGCTTCCATCTCCTTAGCATGAGCAGACCGTTCAGATTCCTGTTGATTTTGCAAATTTTCTATTTCGTGTTGGTAATCTAGTCTCATTTTCTCTATTTGTGTTTTTAGCTCAGCAAATTCTGCCGTCTCTGTTCCAAGCCCTTTGCTGAAGGATATCTTCAGTTCTTCCATTGCCTGCTGGTGGGACGCGATGGCAGTCTCCAGTTTGGACTTCCACAGGGCTATCACATCTGAGTTCTCTTTGTTGGCATGCTCGAGCTTGCTTTTCAATGACTCGTTCTCTTTGGAAAGCTTTTCCGTGGCAGTATACAGAGCCTTTATCTCCTTCTGATGAGTTTCTTCCCGGGCTCCAAAATGTTCCTTCAGTGAAGTTATTTCTCTCTGGTGGTCAGTACGAGAGACTTCTAACTTTTCTTGCAAAGAGCTTATCTCTTGTAAAAGGGAAAGTGACATATCAACATCCCCAGCAGGCTTATTGGACTCTAGCCTTCTTCGGAGCTCAGCTACTTCCTGTACTCTCAATGCTAGGTCTTTCTCCAGTTCCATTATACGTGACTTTTCTGAAACTGTAGCCACCTATTAACAGCAGTCCAAAGAAGAAAAGATCATTTAAATAACAAGTCACTGACAAATTTTTTTTTCTTTTTTTTCCCAAGATGGAGTTTCGCTCTTGGTGCCCAGGCTGGAGTACAATGGTGTAATCTTGGTTCACTGCAACCTCTGCCTCCCTGGTTCAGGCAATTCTCCTGTCTCAGCCTCCCAAGTAGCTGGGATTACAGGCACGTGCCAACACATCTGGCTAAATTTTGCATTTTTAGTAGAGATAGGGTTTCACCTTTTTGGTCAAGCTGGTCTTGAATTCCTGACCTCAGGTGATTCAGCCACCCTGTACTCCCAATGTGCTGGGATTACAGACATGAGCCACTGAGCCTGGCCTGACAATTTTCTGTAACACTGAAGATATTTAGTAACTATCCCATCTCAGGCAGCAAGCTATTATGAATGTTTACAGGTTAATACATACTTCTAATTGTGGTAATGGCTTAAGCCCAATTTAGTAGCTCCAATTCTAAAGAAGCTTAAATCAGAGAAATACCCATTAACTAGTAAGTTAAAAGACAGAGTAACTTTCAAAGTTCTCAGATATATCTGCCTCCTGAAAGACAACATTTCCTTATTTTGCCAGTTTGTTCTACCCCACTTTATCCAGGCTGCATAAATGCTTACCCATTTCATGGAAGTGATCTTATATACTGTGCCATCCGGAACAGTAGCTGTTATTCATACATGGCTACAGAGCACTTGAGATGTGGCTAATCTGAAGTGAGGTGTGGTTTAAGGGTAAAATACACATCAGATTTTGAAGACTTAGAAAAAAAGGAACACAACATGTCTTGTGGGCCAAGGAGAGTGGCTCACACCTGTAATCCCAGCACTCTGGGAGGCTGAGGCAGAAGGATCACTTGAGGCCAGGGGTTCAAGATCAGTCTGAACAACATAGCAAGACCCCATCTCTGCAAAAAATAAAAAATTAGCCAGGCATGGTGGTACATGCCTGTGGTAACAGCAACTTGGGAAGCTAAGGCAGGAGGATCACTTGAGTCCAGGATATTGAGGCTACAGTGAGCTGTGATTGCACCATTGCACTCCAGCCTGGGAGACAGAGCAAACCTTGTCTCTTGGGAAAAAGAAAAAAAGAAATTATATGTAAAAATGTTTAAAATATCTTGTTTATAATGTTTATACTGATTAGATTAAATGACATTTCGGATATATCAGTTTACATAAAATATATCATTAAAACGAATTTCACTTGTGACTTACAAAAAAGTAACGTGGGTGCCAGAAAATTATAAATTGTATATATGTGGCTTGCATTATATTTCCATTGGATAGCACTTGCATAAAAGGTCTAAAATTACCTGTCAAATGTTTCAATGTAGAATGAAAGCATCGATTGAAAAATGAATAATTAATTTACTAATCTTTTTTTTTTTTTTTGAGACAGAGTTTTGCTTTTGTCGCCCAGGTTACAGTGCAATGGCGCGACTTTGGCTCACTGCAACCTTCCCCTCCCAGGTTCAAGCGATCATCCTGCCTCAGCCTTCCAAGTAGCTAGGATTACAGGCACACACCAATGTAGAATGAAAGCATCAATTGAAAAATGAATAATTAATTTACTAATCTTTTTTTTTTTTTGGTTACAGTGCAATGGCGCGACTTTGGCTCACTGCAACCTTCCCCTCCCAGGTTCAAGCGATCATCCTGCCTCAGCCTTCCAAGTAGCTAGGATTACAGGCACACACCACCATGCCTGGCTAATTTTTGTATTTTTAGTAGAGATGGGGTTTCACCATGTTGGTCAGGCTGGTGTCGAACTCGACCTCCAGTGATCTGCCTGCCTCAGCTTCCCAAAGTGCTGGGACTACAGGCGTGAGCCACTGTGCCTGGCCTACTAATCATTTTATTAAAACACAAAGTAAGAATGATTACTTACCTGCAATAATACATAATGTTACACAAATTCCCCTTTTTAGATTTTATAATTCTATCAGCATTTTGATGTAAACATCTTCCTCTAACCCCCTAACCCAGTGGTTCTCAGACATTAGTACGCACATGAATCACCTGGTATGGACATCTAAAGTGCAAGTTTCTACCTATTCCCACATACTTCGATTCTATTTGAGCTCTGGGGTAATACTCAAGAATTTTCTTCTTTTAAATAAATAACCCAGGGCTAGAAAAACACTTTCTTAACCTTGTCCTTTCTTTGCTAGAAATTTATTTCCCTCTGCTACCTGCTATACAATTTATTTAGCACATAGGATATGTGGAAAATAGCTTCCAGCATAAAAACTCAGACTAATCTAGGAAATGAAAGGAAACAAAATAATTTTAAAACAGCAGTGAGTCCAAACTTTAAAGGATCAAAACTCCTCTGATTGGCCAGGCGAGATGGTATATGGCTATAATCCTAGAGCTTTGGGAGGCCAAGGCAGGAGGATCACTTGAGGCCAGGAGTTCAAGATCAGCCTGGGCAACATAGAAAGAACCCCATGTCTACAAAAAAATGTTTTTGTTTTTGTTTTTTAATTTATTTTTATTTTTGTTTTTATTTTACTTATTTATACAAAAAAATGTTTAAAAATTCCTCTGAATTTAAGACTCCTCTCCCGTACTGCCTTTCTCTGAGACAGAAAATAACAGATATGCTTCTTTCATTTCCTCTGCCCACCTACAGGCTGTGACACCAATAAAGATTACAATGTCCACAAGAGAAGAGGAAAAGCAAGCCCTGGGGGTCTCCAAAACTGCATTATCAAAGTAAATAAAATTAAATATTACAGAGCTGGTTATAATTGTTGTGCTTCATAGTTATAAACTCCTGAGGTTAAAGATGTTAATTCATTTACACCTGATTTTCTGGGAAGGGAAGAGTCCAGGAGTTTGTTACCTCAAAATGACATACAAAACATTAGTAAATCTATCAGGATCTGATAGAATTTGCTAAAAAATGCAAAACATTAATAAACCTCATTGCTACAAGGTCTATAGCATAAATACATTAAACCCAATAGGGCAATGATTCTTAGTTACAACAAAACTGGTAAAAAAAAATGCCAAGTAAAAAATAAGCAAAAGTAATAAATAGCAATGTGATTTTACTTTCCATGGCATTTTCCTATAAAGTATAGCAATTTATTTTTCATTTCCCAAAATCTGCCCTCATTGAAAACTGTGTGTATGTCTGCTTCTCCCACTAGTTTGAGACCATGAATTAAGTCAGAAATCATTTTTATTCTTGCTCACATCTCTACAGCACCCAGCACACTGTTTGGAAACTGGATTTATTGGCTAAAACGAATTCTAAAGTGCTTCCTAAAAAGTAACGTAAGTGATATAACACTTGGTTATTTTAACACTTGGAAAACCAAGACTGAGGATCCACAGAAGATATACTTTCGTTATGGAAAGATATAAGAAGATATAAGCTTTTTTTTTTTTTTTTTTTTTTTGAGACAGTCTCACTTTGTCACCCAGTCTGGTGTGCAGTGGCGGGATCTCAGCTCACTGCAACCTCTGTCCCGCTGGTTGAAGTGATTCTCCTGTCTCTGCCTCCCGAGTAGCTGGGATTACAGACATGTGCCACCACGCCCGGCTAATTTGTGTATTTTTAGTAGAGACATGGTTTCTCCATGTTAGCCAAGTTGGTCACAAACTCCTGACCTCAGGTGATCCACCCGCCTGAGCCTCCCAAAGCCAAAGCGCTCGGATTACAGGCTTGAGCCACTGCGCCCAGCTGATATAAGCTTTAAACTGAAATACTTAAATAAACCATGGTGTAAATGAATGCCTTCTTATTTAGAGCGGGGAAAAAAAAGCATCAAAATTGTTTGCTGATGAAACTAAGACATGGGAGAGGAGTTTACCTGTTTAAAAAAAATGTATTACTTCAACAGCCATCACACTAAAGGAACTCAATCTCATTAGTCCGTTGCACTTCCCAGATCAATTATTTGGCTCTAAGTTAAGAAACAGCACCAAATTACCACTTTTTTTTTTTAGTTTCAGTCTTGTTGCCCAGAATGGAGTGCAATGGCGAAATCTTGGCTTACTGTAACCTCCGCCTCCTGAGTTCAAGCAATTCTCCCTCCTCAGCCTCCTGAGTAGCTGGGATTGCAGGCATGTGCCACCACACCCGGCTAATTTTTGTCTTTTTAGCAGAGACAGTGTTTCACCATCTTGGTCAGGCTGAATCTCCAACTCCTGACCTCATGATCTGCCTGCCTCGGCCTCCCAAAGTGCTGGGATTACAGGCGTGAGCCACTGCGCCCGGCCTCATTTTTTTTTTTAAACAGGGTCTTGTTCTGTCATCCAGGCTGGAGTTCAGAGACATGAACACGGCTCACTGCAGCCTCAAACTCCTGGGCTCAAGAGATCCTCCATATAGCCACTACACCCAGCTAATTTTTTTATTTTTTGTAGAGGCAGGGTGTCACACCATCTTACCCAGACTGGTCTTGAACTATTGGACTTAGGCGATCCTCCTGTCTCAGCCTCCCAAAGTGCTAGGATTACAGGTATGAGACACCGTGCCTGGCCCACTTTTTTGTTGTTGTGTTCTTGCAAAATACACAGGAGAAATCTTTAGTTCAGGGGCCAAGAGAACATGTTCCTTCTTCTTAAGAAATAAAAATGTATGATTTAGAAAAGAAAAATTGTCTAGATTTTCAGATTAGTCAATGAATTCTCAACATAAGAAATTTCTACAAACACCAGAAATTTAAAAAAAAAATCAGTATAGCAAATTTGATTAAAGACAGAGTAATTTTTTAAATTCTGAAGTTAAGGATCTGGGCAATTTAGTCACTGACAGACAAATTCATGATTTAAAAGTGTATGTGAATATATATCTTATATGTAACTATTTCTTAATCTTTAAACACAAAACAACTTTCATAATAGACAGACTCCATCTTGTGATCTTTAAGAGCACATGCTCGAGGGCCAAATGGCCTAGATGCAAATCCTGCCTCCACTATTACTATTTGCTGTTTTATCTTAGGCAAGTTACTTAACTTCCCTGTGCCTCTGTTTTCTTGTCTGTAAAATGGGGACACTAATACTCCCTGCCTCCTAGGGTTGTGTTGAGACTGAATACTTGTAGTAAGACACAACAATGTCTGGCATGAAGTTCGCACTATATAGGTGCTTTAATATATAAATAAACTAAAACAGACTAATGTCCTGGCTCCAAGGGCCAAGTACAATGAGCTGGGGGCAGGAAGAAGCCATTCTGTTCCCAACATACATTTCTTTCCTGACAACTGAGGGTTTTTTTGTTTTTGTTTTTTTGAGATGGAGTCTCACTCTCTCGCCCAGGCTGGAGTACAATGGAGTAATCTCAGCTCACTGTAACCTCTGCTTCCCAGGTTCAAGCGATCCTCCTGCCTCAGCCTCCCATGTAGCTGAGATTACAGGCATATACCACCAGGCCCAGCTAATTTTTGCATTTTCAGTAGAGACAGGGTTTTACCATATTGGCCAGGCTTGTCTCAAACTCCTGACCTCCAGTGATCCACCTGCCTCAGCCCCCCAAAGTGCTGGGATTAGAGGCATGAGCCACTGCGTCTGGCATTCCCTGAGGTTTCAATCTCCTGAGTGACAGATCAGAGGGAGATGCAGAGATCAGCCTTCCAAAATAAAAAGGTAACTGAGGTGAAAGTCCTTAACTCTCATTAAACAGAGCCCATGTTTCCATTTCCTTCTCCCATGAGACCAGGGAAGAAGGCAGGAAAACAGCTAAAGTAAAACAACAATAACAAAAAATTATTTAGAAAGCCTAATAACTAGAAATATGAGAACAAGAGGACAATTGACTGCTTGCGGCCAGCCAGAGAAATGTTTCATGGTATTGATATAAACAACTTTGTTTATTCAGTTGTAAATACCCATTTGTTTATTCAGTTGTAAAGTTTCTGATATTGATTTGGTTGGGTTACCAAAGGAACCAGTCTTTACTTTTGACAAAAGGCTAAATATAAAACACCTGTTCCTACTCATCAGTCTCATCTCACGAACACCTGAACAGTACCAAGACCAAACTCAGGTTGAACCACTGGGTCAAGTCTCAGGCCACTATATGTCACCTGAGGCGTCCACCATTCACATGCATGGGTCTGCTTCATTAAATAGTGAAAAGCATTACCCTAGTGTCTTCTAACTCTCTCTGGAGTTTGTCAGCTTTGGTCTTTTCAAAGAGCAGGCTCTGTTCAAGCTCCTTAATGCGGGCATGCTCCAGTTTGGTCTGCGTCTGTTAGTAAAAAGGAAGAGGAAGAGAACACAACAGTGCCACCATGACATGCCAGCACGAGAGGAGAGAGAGCGGCATGCAGGCTGAGCCACCAGTACCTTCTGCCAAAGGATGAACAAAAGGGGAATGGAGAAGGGAAGAGGTGGAGGTGAGATGAGGTGGGCAGTGAGGATGAATACCATGGACAAAGGAGGCTGGTGGGCAGGGGGCATGGGCTAGTCTGTTCAGAAAGAAAAAATGGAAACACATGAGACCAGATGAAGTGTCAGAGGCATGCAGCCAAATATAAGTAATATTGATAAGTGAAGTTTATCAGCACCAATTAGAATAGTTAATATCCCTCCCTCTAAACTATCATTTTCCCTCTACCTCACAAAGTCTACTTGACATTAATGTATGTAACTGACTCGATAACTTTAAAAGGTATATTGACCCTCAGAATGATCATCACTATCATTTAAATATGGCAAAGATAATGTCATAAATTTTAAAAGTGTTCAATAGGTCCTTAGAGCAGATCCGTGCACCCTAGCATATAACCTGATGTAAATGAAGGTCAAATAGTAACCCCAAAAGAAGGAATCTGGAAACTAGAGCTAAGGAAATCAAGCTAGCAGCCTCTGGAGAAATGGGTGAGAAGGGTCTGAGTTAGATCCTCAGCAACATTCCTATTTTGACGGGGAAAGGGCCATGGAAGCTCTAGTTTCCTTCCAGCAGTGGATTTCCCAAAGGCTACTTGGCGCCAGGGAGGGAAAAAAAGGAACCATAATTACGAAGAGAAAATTTAGTAATAATTATCCTGTATCGTCTCCATCTCTGAAGCAGGCCAGTTAAGAGGCTCAGGGCAGGAGGAAAGTTTAGCTCAAACTGGTAAGGGGTTTATTATTTTTACCTTAAGATGAAGTTGTTTTTATTACTCACACGTAAAATGGCGACTCAACCCAAAGGCATGAGTTTGAACTCATGCAAAAACATCTGGTGAGTTAGTAATGTGATTTAAAACCTCTGTGAACTCAGATATTCTGCTCTCCCCACTGTCAGGCACTTGGATGTAGCCTGATGGGGAACACAGAGGATAATCTCCAACAGGTTTAAGTGCAGCAGAATCTTAATCAATTTGAAATAATCTGGGTCCAAATTATCTCTTCCCACCTCTCTCCTATACAAGAGGTTACCCATTATCAGAATAAGCGACTGACAAGGTCCCCACCCCCAGGGCTGCTCTCAGCAGCTGTCATTTACTTGCAGTAATTTAAATAATTTATGGTTCTAACTCATCTATCAATCTGGACAATTAACAGGCAATGAAAAAATGACAACAGACTAAACAAAGTGACACAAAGTGGTGCAGAGCTTCAGTAGAGAGAGGAATGTTAAAGTGAAGGTTATAATCATCTTCACTCATTCCAGTGGGACTCAGGGACCTCAATGCATTCAAGAGGTCACTTTGCTTGTAAACCAGGTATCAATGGACCATCATGGGATATTTAAAAGGTGAACAAAAATTTGTTTTTTCAATTCATCACCTGCGTCAACTCTGTATTCTCCACAAAATAATGGAATATAATTCGAGCCCTAACTGTCTGGATAGTCCCCTTGGTCCGTATGTGCCTTGGATGGACACTGTTCAATTTTCCTGCTTTTATGAGAAAATAATCTAATCCTGCTACATAATTGAGGTCACAGCCTCAAGAACTGAAATCCAAAGCTACAGTAGTAGGAAAAAAAAAAAGGCACTAGAACCTTTCTTCTCTTGACACAATTAACTGTCCTCTGGGTAAAAGGTCACTATTTCCAGATAAAAAGCAAACATACATTTAATGTGATCTCCTCCCCATTCAGAGATCTTCCAGATGAGCGTGGCCAATGCCTCCTTACTGATGGGTCTATATACACATTATCTAGGGTTCTACAGTGCCTCAACCTCCCTAGTAGCTGGGATTATAGGTAAGCACTACCACACCTAGCTAATTTTTATATTTTAGTAGAGGCAGGGTTTCACCATGTTGGCCAGGCTGGTATGGAACTCCTGACCTTAGGTGGTCAATCAGCCACGAGGGAACTAGTGATCCACTTCCATGTCGCAGCACACAGTAAAAATGTAACACTGAACAGGACAACCCTCCTTGTAAAAATCATTCCTTTCTTAGAATAAGACACAGAGTATCCCAAGAGGAAAGTCCTGGGACAGGGGATTGAGAAGGAAAGCAAAGGCTTTGTGAGAAGCGCACAAGAGAGGCAGGGGGCGGGGGGCGGGGGGGCAATCCCATGCAGACTGACACCGAGGGCAGCGGGAGCCTGTTTCAGAAGGAGAGAAGAGACCCAGATCACTGAAGTAGCTTCACAAAAAGGAACCCTTCAGAACAAAGACCTTTCAAAAGGTTCAGGTTTTTTGTTTGTTTGTTTTTGAGATGAAGATTTGCTCTTGTTGCCCAGGCTGGTGTGCAATAGCGTGATCTCTGCTCACTGCAACCTCTGCCTCTTGGGTTCAAGAGATTTTCCTGCCTCAGCCTCCCTAGTAGCTGGGATTCCAGGTGTGCGCCACCATGCCTGGCTAATTTTTATATTTTTAGTAGAGATGGGGTTTTACCATGTTGGCCAGGCTGGCCTCAAACTCCTGACGTTAGGTGATCTGCCAGCCTCAGCCTCCCAAAGTGCTGGGATTATAGGTATAAGCCACGGGGCCTGGCCAAAAGTTTAGTCTTGAGTTGTTTATTTCAGCTGCCAGGAGGTGGTAGAAAGTAATGTCATTCTTTAAATTCCTTCTTATGAAGCAGTAAATGAAAGCAAAAGATTTCCAGGTTCTTTACAACCAGCAGCACGGCTGGCAGGGTACACCAGGAAGCAATGCTCTGGAGACCACATGGCAAGGATTTGTGCTGGGTGTATGGACTTAGAGGAAGAAAAGTAAAACACCTGCATACCTAGTAATGCTACCGCTAGAAAACTCTCATTTCAGTAATAACAATTTAAAACATACTGTGTCTTCACTGACAAATGCTTGCCTCTAGGTTCACAACTAAGGAAAATACTGTAGAAACAAAAGGAAGTTTGAATGTCTCATCAGCTACACTGGCAGGCACTGGTCAGTGGTAGGGGGCACACTGAAAAGGCAGCCAGTCAGCTCCGGGACAGCCACCAGCCTCACAATCCCCTTTCTTCTCATGGGAAGCAAAATTAGACACCTTGGAAACTTCCCTAGAATTCTCACAACTTTACATCTAGAATGTTTTATGATCCAGTCAGATATCATCTTTTTTGGAATAATGCCACTAAAATTAGAACACATTATGAATTAGGTGAAGAAGGCTAGGTCTCCAGACAAAAACTTCTTATCCCCCTTTTCTGGCAAAATTATTTATAAAGCAAACATTGGCCTATTCATTAAACACATGAATTTGCGGAGCTTAGTCATTACATACAATTTCTTCAGGATATAAATGTAACTGCTTTGAAAGCCACATGCACAGAAATACTAAGGTAAATGTCCCAAGGTCAGATTACGGAGTTAGTGTTTGAGTATCATCAATAAGCATTTTAATCTGTGATCAATCTTTGTTAACAAGGGAAATATCCACACAGTTAAGTGCCCTCTTACATTCTCAGGATCTTCAGAAATCTGGCTCTTTTGCTATCAGCAAAAAAATAAAATAAATTAAACAACAACAAAAAAGAGATTCCACTAAAGTTTCAATATGTGTTAGGGTTTCAAGATAACTTTATTTGATTAATTTCAAGTAAGTTTATCAGACAAACTATAGAAGCCTAGAGCTGATGTAAATTATTTTAACTGGACCCCCGCCAAGACACCATAGGCTGTATTTTATATGAATTAGATGATGATATGAAACTTCTAATGAGACTTTGGGGTGTTTTTAAATGGATGAGAACAACACAAAAGTCAACTTAAGAAATGTGGCTGTATATGAAATGAGTGAAGAAGATATCTATTAAACTGTTAATGAATCATTAAATTCTGGGCCCCATACAACTAGAACCCAGAAAATGTTCCCCTTGCTCTTGGTTAACTGTAAAGATACATTTATTTCCACAGAAATCAAAGTTGCTGTTTGGAAGTGCCTCTCAAATTTAAGCATGGTGTGGGCAGCCAACAGACTCTAAAATTGTAGTAAAACTGAGTATTTGGGAAATGCACAGTTAAGTGCAATTTTTACTAAAATATTGTAGACTAAAGAACCACAAATCTGGAAAATTTGAAAAACTGAATGATTTACATTTGTCATATATCTAGCAATGGCTTAAAACCATCAAAATCATTTAATTCTAGTGTCTAATTAAAAAACTAATCTGAATAAATTGTGAAGAAGGGATGAAAACCCTGACACTAAAGGAAAATCCATGAATTCTACAAATGTCATGGAAGTAAAAGAAGCTGAAATAGAAAATGTTCTTAGTTTTTGCTCTGCTAATTACTTTTTTAAAAAAAATCAACAATTAGAATATATAATTTATTCCTTTTATAGGTTTATAAAAGGATTTATCTTGCAACTGAAAAAGCAAAGCTGAGATAAAGCAAAAAGCTTTCTTATGAACTATTTTTTTTTCTTTTTGAGACGAAGTCTCGCTCTGTCCCCTAGGTTGGAGTTCAGCAGCGTAATCTCAGCTTAATACAACCTCCACCTCCCGGGTTCAAGCAATTCTTCTGCCTCCACCTCCCGAGTAGCTGGGATTACAGGCACCCGCCACCACACCCGGCTAATTTTATATTTTTAATAGAGTCAGGTTCTCACCATGTTAGCCAGGCTGGTTTTGAACTCCTGACCTCGGGTGATCCACCCACCTTGGCCTCCCAAAGTGCTGGGATTACAGGCGTGAGCCACTGTGCCCGGCCTGTTATGGACTACTATGACAAATTTAAAATGCCTTTTCTAATCATCAGAGGAACATAAGTAAGTCTCACTTCAGGACTGCTTTAAGTTAAGGACACACTGCCAGATTTATGATGATGAAATTCAGTTCATGGTTTTGAATTTTGAAGCATGAGAAAGGAGTAGTGCAAGTTTCACTCTGCCATAGGAAGTGGGACACACAATCACAGGCTCAAGGACCAGCACCGTTACCACAAAGCCGCCCTCCAGAACCCAACATGGCCAGAGAGGCCAGGGTTTCCCCTGCCACTTCCTCAGCTGACTGTTCTGGCCACTTATGTCAGTTGGCACATTATTTCACCCATGCTTCTGAATACTGATACCCATAAAAGTTTTAAGAGAGCTGGAGGGATTTTACCTCAAGATCACCTTTGGTAATTGATTCTTCTTCAACCCGGAACTGAAGGTCCTCAACCTTCCTGTGGAATAAAAGCCAAACAAAACACTTAAGAAAGTAAGTAACACTCTGCCTTAAAAAAACAAAAACAAAAACAAAAATCACGTTGGGTATGGTAGCTCACTCCTGTAATCCCAGCAATTTGGGAAGCAGAGGTAGGAGGATCACTTGAGGCCAGAAGTTCAAGACCTGCTGGGGCAACATAGTGAGACCCAGTCCTTGTATTAAAAAAATAAAATCTGTAATCACTACTCTGGTGAATTCAAGCAGACAACAGCAAGAAATGCCTTAGAGACATAGCAAGTTTAAAAATGCATCTTTGTACCTTGGGAGGCCAAGGTGGGAGAACTGCTTAAGACCAGGAGTTTGAAAGCAGCCTAAGCAACATGACAAAACCCCATCTCTATCAAAATATTAAAAAATTAGCCAGGTGTGGTAGCGTGCACCTGTGATCTCAACTACTTGGGAAACTGAGGTGGGAAGATCTCTTGAGCCCTGGCAGTCAAGGCTGCAATGAGTTATGATTGTATCACTGCAGTCCAGGCTGGGCAACTGAGTGAGACCTCGTCTCAAAAAAGAAAAAAGCAGGGCGCGGTGGCTCAAGCCTGTAATCCCAGCACTTTGGGAGGCCGAGGCAGGTGGATCACGAGGTCAAGAGATCGAGACCATCCTGGTCAACATGGTGAAACCCCGTCTCTACTAAAAATAGAAAAAATTAGCTGGGCATGGTGGCGCGTGCCTGTAATCCCGGCTACTCAGGAGGCTGAGGCAGGAGAATTGCCTGAACCCAGGAGGTGGAGGTTGCAGTGAGCCATGATCACGCCATTGCACTCCAGCCTGGGTAACAAGAGCAAAACTCCGTCTCAAAAAAAAAAAACAAAACAAAAAAAAAAAAAAACAAAACCTGTAATTCCAGCGCTTTGAGAAGCTAAGATGGGCAGACTGCCTGAGCTCAGTTTGAGACCAGCCTCAGCAATATGGCAAAACCCCATCTCTACAAAAATACAAAGATTAGCCAGGCATGATGGCATGTGCCTATAGTCCTAGCTATTTGAGAGGCTGGGGTAGGAAGATCACTTGAGTCAGGGACGTCAAGGCTGCAGTGAGCCATGATCACACCACTGCACTTCAGCCTGACTGACAGAGTGAGACCCTGTCTCAAAAGATATTATTATTTTTTTCTTTTTAGATGGAGTCTCGCTCTATCACCCAGGCTGGAGTGCAGTGGCGCAATTTCAGCTCACTGCAACCTCTGCCTCCTGGGTTCAAGTGATTCTCTTCCCAAGTAGCTGGGATTACAGGCATGTACCACAGGCCTAGCTACTTTTTGTATTTTTAGTAGAGACGAGGTTTTACCATGTTGGCCAGGTTGGTCTCAAACTTCTGACCTCAAGTGATCCACCCACTTCGGCCTCTCAAAGTGCTGGGATTACAGGCATGAGCCACTGCAGCCAGCCATAGATTTTTTGACAAAATAATAGAAGCAAATGGAATTCAGAAGGGCCTAGAAGGTCTATCACCATCTCCTGTTTACTTGTCATTAAGGCTAGCCATTTTTTAAATATGAAGAGAACTTCCTAAGTATAGTGTTTCTCTCTCCAGTAAGAAAGTAAGTGATGGTAGTGTACCCTCACTGTGACCCCTGACTACAACATTGCTTATGACTGGCATAATCACACAGCAACATTAAATTATTACTGAATTAAGTCACTGTTATCAGAAATGACAGAAGATGGCATTAAATCCAACAGAGACAAATGTCCCATAACCCAGGGATGTTCAAATGATTTCCATGCAGACATTTTTTTCAGAGACTGTGTCTGTTCATGGGCTCAAGAAAGTTCCTTTGTTTCTGAGACAGGGTCTTACTGTGGTTGCCCAGCTGAAGTGCAGTGGTGCAATCTCGGCTCACTGTAGCCTTGATCTCCTGGGATCAGTGATTCTCCCACCTTAGCCTCCTGAGTAGCTGGAACTATAGGCATGTGCCATCAGGTCTGGCTAATTTTTCTTTTTCTTTTTAATAAAGACAGGGTTTTGCCATGTTGCCCAGGCTGATCTTGATCTCCTGGACTCAAAGCAATCTGCCTGCCTCAGCCTCCCAAAGGGCTGGGACTACAGATGTGAATCACCACACCTAGACTGAAAGTTCCCTTTATAAGAACCAAACTTAAGTCTCCATCTCACATCATTTACCATTTTATTTCATACGAACCCCTGTAATTCTCTAATTGTTTCACAGGTGAGAATTCTGTTTTCCTAATAAGGTACCGAATTTCTCAAGTACAGGAACCTTATGTCACTCACCAGACATAATGCAATTCATAAACACTAGGTAACTTGAACCTAGAAAACCAGGAAACCAGTTCCAGGTGAAAACTGGTTGGGAATGACTACCACAATTCTGATAAAGGCTACCCTCAAGAGGATGTTTGGAATGCAACATAGCTCAAGAAATACGTTACATTAATCAGGTCTTGTCTTTTTTTTTTTTTTTTTAAGACAGGTCTCGCTGTCACACAGTCTGGAGTGCAGTGGCATGATCTCGGCTCACTGCAACCTCTGCCTCCTGGGTTCAAGTGATTCTCCTGCCTCAGCCTCCTGAGCAGATGGGATTACAGGTGCCCGCCACCATACCTGGCTAATTTTTGTATTTTTTCTTTTTCTTTTTTTTAGTAGAGATTGGGTTTCACCATCTTGGCCAGGCTGGTCTTGAACTACTGACGTCATGATCCACCTGCCTCAGCCTCCCAAAGTGCTGGGATTACAGGCTTGGAGTCACCATGCCCGGACAATCAGACCATGTCTAAATGATTCCAAACTTCTTTTAAAAAGTTGAATCAAAGCAGACCCTCTTCACACGGTATGGCAGAGTCCAATTTCTGCTGGATACATAGTCATTCCTTTGGGTTGATAGCAACATGGTTATTAATAGGAAATTGTCTTCTAAGATCATTTAAAAGAAAAAGGCCACTGGGTGCAGTGGCTCATACCTGTAATCCCAGCACTTTGGGAGGCTGAGGCGGGCAGATTGTAGATTGCCTGAGCTCAGGAGTTCAAGACCAGCCTGGGCAACACATTGAAACCCCATCTCTACTAAAGTACAAAAAAATTAGCTGGGCATGGTAGTGTGTGCCTGTAATCCCAGCTACTTGGGAGGCTAAGGCAGGAGAATCGCTTGAACCTGGGAGGCAGAGGTTGCAGTGAGCTGAGATCGCACCACTGCACTGTAGCCTTGGCAACAGAGCTAGACTCCATCTCAAAAAAAAAAAAAAAAAAAGGAAAAGGCCACACTTCCACCAAGAAACAGTCTGAGGTCACCTTTTCTCCTCTTCCAGCTGGTTGAGAAGCTCCACCTTCTCCCTGTCAGCAGCTTCCACCATTGTTCTCAGCTGGTCCATTTTGGCTTCCAATTCCAGGACATGCTGGGGAAGGCAAGGATGTCAGTTAATGGACTATTTTTGACCCAGATACAGACCCAAAGATACTTCCCCAAAGAGCTCTGGGTTACCACGGTGGGTGGGCATTACTCTAAAAAACCTTATGTTAATATGCTTTCTCTATTTTAATAGGTTATTCTTGACAGCTTTTTTGGAAGACAGATGTGAAAAACCACACCATTAAAGTGATAAAGGACAATGTTAAAATAACTCTCATCTTTTTTGAAACTGAAACACATATTAAGAGTAATCCACAAACAGCAGCTGTAATCATTCCTAGTAACCAAGCTGGCCTAACACAGGCCAAAAGACCCGGACACAAAGACAACACACTAAAGTAGAATCAAGAAGAAAACTTCATCTCTGTGATCATAGAAACTGGCATCCCAGGTCATAGCTTTCAAACAAGCACAGCAAAGAAATGTACACCCATTTCCAGTGCTCTCAAGGCTAGCTCCTCGGTGCCAAGTACCAGGCATGCTTCTTGCCCTCCTCAGTGGATTTAGAAATTATCATCATCTCCACAACAAGGTCAGACTTCACCTGGTCATGTCCATCCCGGGCCAGAGCTAGCTCCTGCTCTATCTCCCCAACGTGGCTTGTGGCCTTGGCCACCTCCGCCCTCTCCAGATCCCGTTCCGCCAGCAGCTGCTCAATGTGCTGCTGCTTCTCCTTCAGGGCCTCCTGGAGGGCAGTGGTACCGGAGATCTTCCTGGCGTAACGGGAGGAGGTTTCAGTCAACTGCAAAGGAAAGTTAGAGAAGTGAAGGGCGATGATGCTGTCAGGAATGTGAGGGAGGTGAGATGCATGCGTGGCGGGCATCTGCTTGGCAAAGCAAGGGTGCTGCTCCAGCTAGCAGGCTGGCCAGGATTAGGAAAGGCTTCCTCAAAAACACAAGACAGCATGTGCCTTCTGTCTAAAAATCTCACAAAGAATACATCAGTGTAAAGAGAACACATCAGCTGGGTGTGGTGGCTCACACTTGTAATCCCAGCACTTCAGGAGGCCGAGGCAGGTGGTTCACTTGAGGCCAACAGTTTGAGACCTGGCCAACATGGTTAAGACCCCAACTCTACTAAAATACAAAAAGTAGCTGGAATGCAGTGGTGTGATCTCAGCTCACTGCAACCTCCACCTCCTGAGTTCAAGTGATTCTCCTGCCTCAGCCTCCCAAGTAGCTGGGATCACAGGCGTGCACCACTACTGCCCAGCTAATTTTTGTATTTTTAGTGAAGACAGGGTTTCGCCATGTTCCCCAGGCTGTTCTCAAACTCTAAAGTGCTGGGATTACAGGTGTGAACCACCACACCCAGCCAAAGGACATCTGCTGAGACACTGCTGGCTCCAGACCAAGTCAGCCTTGACTTCATCTTCTGCAGTCAGAGCTGCAGCTGTCACCTGAAAGCTCTGCTCTTTATCAGTTTCCCTAGGACCTTGCTGCAAGACGCACAGGATGCAGATGTACAGCTAGGATCTTTCTTCAATTAACAACTCGGCAACTCGAGAGCTACAAAAGAATCCAATCAAACCCAAATTGCCCTTTGCTGTTTCATTTAGTCAAAGTTCTTAAAATTACTTAAACATACTGGGAGGAAACTCCTGTTGTCTTTTTTAACCATTTGACCCTAACCTTCCAATTTCATTATATAGCTAAATTATACCTTCTCTTGCTAATATTTCTTCCTGAATTCATTAAATCTGTGGTTCCCAAACCATGTGCAGAGATACCCCAGCATGAGGAGCAAACTCACCAGTGCACTGGAAGAGGTTTTAACTTTTCAAGAGAGACACGGCGACATCTGCAGGACACCATGCAAACTACTAGTTTGAGGCAATTCAGTCTCATCATTAGATTGTTCTACCGTGCTTTCAATAACATCATGTCTTTCAAAGCTGGGTTTTGGCTATTGCCATGACAAGAAAGAAAGTACTATGCAAAAATCAACATGCACAAGAAATGAGGTTGGTGATGATTCCAAGGCTTGACTAGATGTATAGAGCCCAACAGCGGTAGACATGGAAACACTAAGTCACTGTGGTTAAAGAATGAACTGGCCAGGTGTGGTGGCTCACACCTGTAATCCCAGGACTTTGGGAGGCCAAGGTGGGTGGATCATCTGAAGTCAGGTGTTTGAGACTGGACTGGACAACATGGTGAAACGCAGTTTATACTAAAAATACAAAAATTAGCTAGGCATGGTGGAGCACGCCTGTAATCACAGCCATTAAGGAGGCTGAGGAAGGAGAATCGCTTGAACCCAGGAGGCAGAGGTTGCAGTGAGCTGAGACCGCAACACTGCACTCCAGCCTGGCCAACAGCGAGACTCATCTCAAAAAATAAAAAATAAAAACAAAGAATGGGCTGGGTACGGTGGCTCATGCCTGTAATCCCAGCACTTTGGGAGGTCAGTGCGGGTGGATCACAAGGTCAGGAAATCGAGACCATCCTGGCCAACATGGTGAAACCCCATCTCTAATAAAAATAAAACAAAATTAGCTGGGCGTGGTGGTACACGCCTATAGTCCCAGCTACTTGGGAGGCTGAGGTAGAAGAATTGCTTGAACCCAGGAGGCAAAGATTGCAGTGAACCAAGATCATGCCACTGCACTACAGCCTGGGCAACAGTGGGAGAATCTGTCTCAAAAAAAAAAAAAAAAATTTTTTTTTTTTCAATTTTTGTTTTTCCAAAACAGAAATACATTTCTGAGCAAAATAATTGAAATGACATTATGTCTTTGTCATATGGTGACTTTTGGCTTAGAAACCATAAAGACACAAAATTAAGCTGTCTCACAAGGTACAGAAACTCATGTCTCTTTTGTCAATTTTCACTGAATTAGGTGAGCTAAGAGGTATGAGAATTGGTCTGAAAATTAAGAGGAGAAATTGGTGGGAACCAGGAGAACTTGGTATTTCCCAAAGAAATGGACACAATTACAAGGTAATAAAAATTCTCAAGAAATTTCCTAATCCAGAATAGACCCTTCCATGGAACTGTTCAAATAGCAAAGGAGGAAAGATGTACGTATCAGAGTTTCTGACCTACATCTAAAAAGCTTTGTCTCAACTCGGGGGTTTGGAGTTCTTCAATTCACTGTTCTTGTCATGCTTTTCTCATAAAAGTAGTTTTTCTGTTGAAGACACAGGCTTTCTTTTCATATGCAAATAGAAATGCTCCGAGCAGTGCTTATTGTACCTGAACACAGAAAGCCTAGCTGGCTGGCAGAGGAGCACAGCCCCATGTAAAGATTTCAGTGCCTGTCTCTTCTCTGCCTGACGACAATGGAAGAACAGGCCCCAACAGACCTTGGGCTAACCACCCTCCTCCCCATGGCACCACACACCATCCTGGCTCGTGGCCTGTGCTTCCCCGACACACAGAGGAGACCTGAACTCAGTCTGGAGGAGAGTCTGAGGCTGCCATTTCTAATTTAATCAGTGTTTGTCCCACTTCTAGGAAATAAACTTATTAGGGCTGGGCTTTGACCCTAATAAAATACTACATTAACAAACAGAATGAGGTGTTGTCTATTTTATTACTGGTGATTCTACTTTTACTGTTTTCAACAAGAAAAAGGGAGAGAGGGAAAAGGACCGGGAGAAGAAGATGAAAAGAAGAGAGTAATCAAAACAGGGCTTTCCCTGTATCCTCTTCCAGCTCCGAAAGTTCCCTTTAGTGTCCTCTGGTTCAAGTCAGGGACACTCCACACACTAACTGGTTCCAGTAGGTTAGGTTGTATTAATATAATATTAAAATCCTACAAACACACCTTTTCTCAGAACACTTCAGTTCCTAAAATTATTTGAAGTCAAAGAGAAAAACAGGCTGGGAGTGGGGGCTCAGGCTTGTAATCCCAACACTTTGGAAGTCCAAGGCAGGAGGATCACTTAAGCCTAAAATTTTGAGACCAGCCTGGGCAACATAGTGAAACCCTCTCTCTATAAAGAAAAAAAAAAATTAGGCTGGGTGCTGTGGCTCATGCCTGTAATCCCAGCACTTTGAGAGGCCAAGATGGGCAGATCATCTGAGGTCGGGAGTTTGGAACCAGTCTGACCAACATGGAGAAACCCCACCTCTACTAAAAATACAAAAAACATGCCTATAGTCCCAGCTACTTGAGAGGCTGAGGCAGGACAATCACTTGAACCTGGGAGGCAGAGGTTGCGGAGAGCCTAGATTGCACTATTGCACTCCAGGCTGGGCAACAGGAGCGAAACTCCGTCTCAAAAAAAAAAAGAACAATTAGCCAGACATGGTGATATGTACCAGCAGTCCCAACTACCAGGGAGGCTGAGGCAGGAGGATTGCTTGAGCCTGGCATGTTGAGGTAACAGTGAGACCCTGACTCAAAAGAAAAGAGAGAGAGAGAGATCTATGGACTTGAAGAAAAGGATCTCTCCAGTGTTCCCATCATTTTGTCCTAAAATAATCTCATAGAAAATAATTTAATCCCTTATGAAAACAGATTAATACAGTAAAATGGTCACAAAAAAAGAAAAAAATAATAATAATTTGACCCCTATGTTAGAGTAAGCAGTAGTTACACAGATTCACCAAAAACAGATGCATTTTTAAGCTTTTAAGAATCTGGAAAGGGCTATTAAAAATGCTTTCTGATTTCAAAAGATGTATTCTTGCTGGAGTTACATTTTTCAAAACTTACTTGGCAAGGACTTTCATAGAAAGCTGCAAGCAACATTCAGCACAAGGACAAGCAAAGCAGCAAAGCAGCAAAGCAGGGGCACTGCCCACGGGCCATAGTCATGCCTGGGAAGTGGAGGCAGGTAATAAGAAAGGGAGCTTACTAGTCCTGTCCGACTCGGCCTGCTGCTCACAGAGGAGGCCACTGAGCTCATGGAGCTGAGGGAAGAGGCAGAAGGGCTTCGCTTCAGGCTGGCGGGTGTGGTCCCCATCACTCGCCTCACTGCATTGGCCTTGGCTTTGGCTGGTGTAGTGGAAGGGAAGCCAATCTTGGTAACTTTGTGGACAGGAGCAAACAAGCCATATTTGGGTTGACACTGAAAATACCTTTAGAGAACAACAATAAAAACAGTAACAAAAAACAACTTAATGACAAGAAATAATAACTATAAACAAAAGGCTCTCCCAGCTCCTAACTTGTGGCTGGATTCCTGAAAATTCTACCACTAAGCTGGGGTTATATACCAGCATGTAGCAGTATGGTTCTAAAACTCAATGATGGTTTTAGAACACACACTGGTGATACACAGAGTCAGGATTACTCACCTATTGCTGAGGTTCTACATAAAGGAAATAAATATTTCCACCACCTGATAAATGTACAGCAGAGGAGTTTAGCAATAGAGCAAGTCCATTTAATAAAATTGTACCAAACAAAGGGAAAAGAAATCAAACAAGCACCTAACTTTGGCAGATCCATTAAAGTAAACATAAAGAGTTAGATGTAGTGGCTCACTCCTGTAATCCCAGCATTTTGGAGACCGAGACAAGGGATCACTTGAGCCCAGGAGTTCAAGACCAGCCAGGGCAAAACAGAGAGACCCCATCACTACAAAAAATACCAAAAATTAGCCAGGTGTGGTGGTGTAGAAGGATCACTTGAGCCTGGGAAGTTGAGGCTGCAGTAACTCAAGATCACACCACTGTAGTCTAGCCTGGGTGACAGGGCAAGAGCCTGTCTCAAAACAAACAAATAAAAAACTCCAGTGATGGGTGCATCAACATCTCAGATATCACCACTAAAGAACTTATTCATGTAACCAAACACTACCTGTTCCCAAAAAACCTATTGAAACAAAAATTAGTAAAAAATACGTATTTTTAAAAATAAAGAAAATGAAATCTACCCCTACTTAATCAACTGTAGAGAAATATAAATACAAAATGACTCATTAAACATACAGGAAAAATCTAGTCAAAAAAGAAATACAAATGTTCATTGAAAATTTTTTATTTTTATTTTTTGAGACGGAGTCTCAGTCTGTCGCCAGGCTAGAGTGCAGTGGAGCAAACTCGGCTCACTGCAACCTCTGACTCCCTGGTTCAAGGGATCTCCTAACTCAGCCTCCCAAGTAGATGGGATTACAGGCACGTGCCACCACGCTCAGTTAATTTTTGTATTTTTAGCAGAGATGGGGTTTCCTCATGTTGGCCAGGATGGTCTCAATCTCCTGACCTCATGATCTACCCGCTTCAGCCTCCCAAAGTGCTAGGATTACAGGTGTGAGCCACCACGCCCAGCCAGTTCACTGAAAATTTTTAATGTTTGTTTCAATAAAACTATGAAAAAAAAGATAAGGTACTTTGCAAGTATAGCATTGAGAAGACCCAGAAAAAAAAAAAAACGGCACTGGAGAAAAAAAAGTAAATATGGAGAAATATTAACTAGTAACGGCTATTTTTGGTTAGACATGGACAATATGACTCTAAAGGATTATAATGTTTTAATATTAAGAAAAGATGGCTTCATAATCATTGCAGTTCCAAGAGATCTTTTTTTTTTTATTATTATTGAGACAGAGTTTCGCTCTTGTTACCCAGACTGGAGTGCAATGGCGCAATCTTGGCTCACTGCAACCTCTGCCTCCTGGGTTCAAGCAATTCTCCTGCCTCAGCCTCCCAAATAGCTGGGACTACAGGCATGTGCCACCATGCCCAGCTAATTTTTGTATTTTTAGTAGAGCCGGGGTTTCACCATGTTGACCAGGATAGTCTCAATCTCTTGACCTCGTAATCCACTCGCCTCCGCCTCCCAAAGTGCTCGGATTATAGGTGTTAGCCATTGTGCCCGACCTCCAAGAGATCTTTATCTACATGAGTCATAATTACTGTATGTGGTAGATTAAGCCCTTTTCTTTATAATTAATTTGCTTATAACCAATTTGTCTATGTTTTATAAGTAAAATGTTAATTACCACACAAGTGATGCATTAATACTCCTGTATACTACTAATAATGCTGAATCATAGACAACGCCTGTGCCTTCAAAACATTTTGAAAAGAAGAGTGGGAAATTCCTCCTGCATCTGTGTGCATTACTGTACTCCCATCCTATGTCTGGGAGGCAAGAATGGGGTTATCCAGGCCGGGCATGGTGGCTCATGTCTGTAATACCAGCACTTAGGGAGACCGAGGCAGGCAGATCACTTGTATCCAGGAGCTTGAGACCAACCTAGGCAACACCCCATCTCTACTAAAAATACAAAAATTAGGCAGGCATAGTGGTGCATGCCTCTAGTCCCAGCTACTGGTGAGGATGAGGTAGGAGGATTGCTTGAACCCAGGAGGCGGAGGTTGCAGTGAGTGGGGGCGGAGGTTGCAGTGAGTGGGGATGGCACCACTGCACTCCAGCCCGGGCGACAGAGGGACACCCTGTCTCAAAAAAAAGAATGGGATTATCCTTAAAATGGAAGAGATCGGCTTGCCAGTCTGTTCTCCTGACACAGGATGGAATTCTCATCAGATATAAAGACACATTCTGCAGTTCTTTTTACTAACAAAGGTGACTAACTTCTACCACCACCCCCACCCCAGATGCACAGGTACTCTTTCAGAGAGCAACTCCTATCAAAAGGGAGAGAAGGCCAGGCACGGTGGCTCACTCCTGTAATCCCAGAACTTTGGGAGGCTGAGGCGGGTGGATCACTTGAGGTCAGGAGTTCAAGACCAGCCTGGCCAAAATGGTGAAACCCCATCTCTACTAAAAAAAAGAAAAAAAGGCCGGGCGCGGTGGCTCACACCTATAATCCCAGCACTTTGGGAGGCCGAGGCGGGTGGATCATGAGGTCAAGAGATCGAGACCATCCTGGTCAACAAGGTGAAACCCCGTCTCTACTAAAAACACAAAAATTAGCTGGGCATGGTGGTACGCGCCTGTAGTCCCAACTACTCGGGAGGCTGAGGCAGGAGAATTGCTTGAACCTAGAAGGCGGAGGTTGTGGTGAGCCGAGATCGTGCCATTGCACTCCAGTCTGGGTAACAACAGCAAAACTCCATCTCTAAAAAGAAAAAGGAAGAAAAAAAGGTGGGCGGTGAGAGAAGCCAGACAGATAACATAGTATTTCGTATTTTGAAAAATAAACAGAATTCTTGTTCAGAATCTACTCAGATACACTACATGTATTACTAAGGAGAGAGTCAAAAGAACAGTCCCAATTCTAGTGCGGAGGAAAAAAAAAAAACCAGCAGATAGGCCTCAGGAAATAAGCGTGCCGCTCTTCCGAACATATCTTTCCATGTTATGACACACATGCTTGGTGAGACTGGCTTGAGCATGGTCACATACAAGAGTGAGACAAGATGTTGCACAATGCCAAACAAACCTCGTTCCAGCAACAGCACCATCGTTCTTCCCAAGAGGCTCGTCTAACTCCACACCACACCATTCCCCCTTGGCAAAGTCGGTCTCCCCAAGAAACCGGACTACACCAGCCTTAGTGCCACCAACCTGGAAGAAGAGAAGGTTAAAATAAAGAGATGAACATAATTCTATACCTTAATCATTTGTGGTTCCCACTATTAACTAGGTACTATATTCCTTCATTTTCACCATTCTTTGCTCTACCTTCTCTTTGACTCTAAGAGTTCTCTTGAAGGAAGTCTGGCAAAGAAACTTACCTGGCTGACTTACATTACCAGAGTGATTTGATGCTTAACACATTGCAATAATGAGACAGCCTATCTAATATGTAGTCATTAAGGCGTCCACCAAGCTCATTATTCCTTTTCTTTTTGTCTTTTTTTTTTTTTTTGAGACGGAGTCTCACTGTCACCAGGTTGGAGTGCAGTGGAAAGATCCTGGCTCATAGCAACCTCTGCCTCCTGGGTTCAAACGATTCTCCCACCTCAACCTCCCAAATAGCTGGGACTACAGGCACCCACCACCACGCCCAGATAATTTTTGTATTTTTAGTAGAGATGAGGTTTCACCGTGTTGGCCAGGCCAGTCTTGATCTGTTGACCTTGTAATCTGCCCACCTTGGCCTCCCAAAGTGCTGGGATTACAGGCATGAGCCACCGCATCCGGCCCATTATTCCTTTTCTTAGAAAATACTTTATCTAGGTCGGGTGCGGTGGCTCAAACCTGTAATCCCAGCACTTTGGGAGGCCGAGGTGGGTGGATCACGAGGTCAAGAGATCGAGACCATCCTGGTCAAAATGGTGAAACCCCATCTCTACTAAAAATACAAAAAATTAGCTGGGCATGGTGGTGCATGCCTGTAATCCCAGCTACTCAGGAGGTTGAGGCAGGAGAATTGCCTGAATCCAGGAGGCAGAGGTTGCGGTGAGCCAAGATCACGCCATTGCACTCCAGCCTGGGTAACAAGAGCGAAACTCCGTCTAAAAAAAAAGAAGAAAAATAAAATACTTTATCTTTTTTTCTTTCTTTTTTTTTTTTTTTTTTTAGATAGGGTCTCACCCTGTTGTCCAGGCTAGAATGCAGTGGCACAATCATGGCTCACTTCAACCTTTACCTCCTGGGCTCAGGGGATCTTTCCACCTTGGCCTCCTAGGTAGCTGAAATTATAGGTACACACCACCAAAAAGGCTAATTTTTTTTTGTATTTTTTGTGGAGATGGGGTTTCACCATGTTGCCCAGGCTGGTCTTGAACTTCTGGGCTCAAGTGATCGGCCCACCTCAGCTTCCCAAAGTGTTGGGATTATAGGTGTGAGCCACCACTCTTGGACCTTTATTTTTCTAGCAAAAATTTTCCTGCTTCAAAACAAACTTGCGGCTGGGCACAGTGGTTCATGCCTGTAATCTCAGCACACTGAGAGTCCCAGGCAGGAGGATTGCTTGAGCCCAGGAGTTCAAGACTAGCCTCGACAACATAAGGAAGACACTGTCTGTACAAATAATTTAAAAAAATAAAATTAGCCAGGCATCATAGTGGTGTGCGCCTGTGGTCCCAGCTACTCAGGAAGCTGAGGTGGGAGGATTGCTTGAGCCCAGGGGTTTGAGGCTGCAGTGAGCCGCAATTGTACACTGAACTGCAGCCTGGGCGACAGAGTGCGACACCACCTCAAAAAACTAAAAAAGTAAATAGGCTGGGCACCGCGGTTTATGCCTCCCAGCACTTTTGGAGGCTGAGGAGGGTAAATCACCTGAGGTCAGGAATTTGAGAGCAGCCTGGCCAACATGGTAAAACCCTGTCTCTAATAAAAATACAAAAATCAGCCAGTGTGGTGGCTCACGCCTGTAGTCCCAGCTACTCAGGAGACTGAGGCACGAGAATCACTTAAACCCAGGAGGCAGAGGTTGCAATGAGCCAAGATCACGCCACTGCACTCTAGCCTGGGTGACAGAGCGAGACTCTTGTCTCAAAAAAAAAAAACTTTAAGTACTTAAAAAAATAATTGGCCAAGTATGGTAGTTCATACCTATAATCCCAGCACTTTGGGAGGCTGAGGTGGGAGGATCGTTCAAGTCCCCAAGGCTGCAGTAAGCCATAGTCATGGCACTGTGGTACGGCCTGGGCGACAAAACAAGAAAATGTTTCAAAAATTAATAATAATTGACTCTTGCTATTTTCCACAGTGAGGCTCTCTGTTTTTTCACAACTATTAAAATTAATCATTCCCAGGCTGGGCACAGTCGCTCACGTCTGTAATCCCAATTTTGGGAGGCCAAGGCAGGCAGATCACTTGAGGCCTAGAGTTCGAGAGCAGCCTGGCCAACATGGTGAAACTCCATCTCCACAAAAAATACAAAAATTAGCTGGATGTGGTGGCACTCACCTGTAATCCCAGCTACTCAGGTGGCTGAGGCACGAGAATTGCTTGAACCCAGGAGGTGGAGATTGTAGTAAGCCAAGATTGTGCCACCGTACTCCAGCCTGGGTGACAGAGTCAGACCTTGTCTCAAAACAAAACAAAACAAAAGAGTACTAGTTCTAGACATGACACATTTGACCTTTTAGTACTCCTGTCAGTACTAACACACAAATAGTCACCTATATATAATTGGCCTTACTGCAGTGAGTCAAAAGAAAATAAAGTTGGCCTGTTTTCTCCTTCCTCCCACACCACACCATTCCCAGCAGCAGTCCAACCAGCATCATGTGAGCAAGACACAGCACATTAGTTAAAGATGATGCAACCTCTTCAGATAATCTGTTAAATTCTTTGGGGGTGAGTCTAAGTTACTGTCATGACAATTGTTTTTCCAAGAGGCATCTAACAGGCTATATGCAGTAATTCTCCAAGCAAACCACAAGTTTCATTTAGATCAGCTTTGTAAAAAGTAACTACAAACAACAAATTAGTAACAATTTCTCTAAATGCAGATAATATACATGTATCCTGAAAAAAAGTCATGTCACAAAGTTTGTCTGAAATGGATGACTACTAGTTCCTAGAACAGAAAGTTTTGTTATACTTTTTTTGCACCAAACATGGAACTCTTAACTCATATAATAGAGAATGTATTTTCCCTTTCCCTGTAAAAAATCAGTAATTATTCTACAGAGATAGAAAATCACATGAAGTCCTAAAATCATCAAATGTTTTTCTACTTAATCATTCTACAATTTAAAAAAAAGTGTTTAAGCATTTAAACATAACTTAATAAAGTTAGGTTTTATTTCTGTGTTCCAGACAATACAGAAAAGTTTAGTGCATGCATTTACAGTAAATACAAGTGTTAAATAATGCATTTACAATAAAGAGAAGCCACTATTATCAACTAATATCTAAGAAATTTATGTTCTAGGGACAAACATCTATGTTATTAAAGAAAAATATTTTCAATATTGAAACAAAAAATCAAGGCCAGGTGCAGTGGCTCATAGCCGTAATCCCAACATTTTGGGAGGCCAAGGCAGGAGGATTATTTGAGGCCAGGAGTTTGAGACTGGCCTGGGCAACACAATGAGACACCATCTATCTCTACATAAATTTAAAAATTAGCCAGGCATGGTGGTATGTGCCTGTGACCCCAGCTACTCGGGCTGCAGGTGAGCTGTGATCATGACACTGCACTCCAGCCTGACAATAGAGTGAGACCCTGTCTCAAAAACAAACAAATACAAAACCTCACAAAAAACTAAAAGACTCCCATGGCAACACAAACAAGCATAATTCATTCTCTTTACTCTCAGAATGTTGGCATATAACTCCTAACACTGTGGTAAAAGTCACTTTTGAAAACAGAATTAATTTAAACAAAAAACTTAAAAATAAAAAACCTAGCTACTATTTTTATGCTTTATCAAATCTCAGATTTTTAAGTTCTCATTCATTTATTCAATATATATTTCTTGATTGTTTGGATTCTTGAAAAACAAAGATAAACAGAATACAGCGTTGGCCATTTAGGGAGAGAGATAAGAAGATTCAGACAAGAAACTGCTGTAAAAAGTGTTAAATGCATCTAGAGGTTTCTACAAAATGCTGTGGGAACAGAAACAAATACCCTTCCTGTAAGCTCTTTAAAAAAAATAAAAACACTGATAAATTCTGGGTTAATGAATTTATCATTAACCCCGAGTGGGTCGGCCAGGCATAGTGGCTCACACCTGTAATCCCATCACTTTGGGAGGCCAAGGCAGTCAGATCACAAGGTCAGGGAGTTTGATACTAGTCTGACCAACAAGTTGAAACCTCATCTCTACTAAAACTACAAAAATTAGCCAGGCATGGTGGCGCGAACCTATAATCCCAGCTACTCAGGAGGTGGAGGTTGCAGTGAGCAATCCAGGAGGTGGAGGTTGCACTCCAGCCTGGGCAACTTGAACCCAGGAGGTGGAGGTTGCAGTGAGCCAAGATTGCGCCACTGCACTCCAGCCTGGCAACAGAGCAAGACTCCGTCTCAAAAAACAAAAACAAAAACAAAAAAAATTAAAAAAAAAAGAGTGGGTCTACAAACAGGAAACAGAAAGAATCCTCTCTGGACTCACCCATCTATTCATTATCCAGTTCTCAGCCAGCCATTTAATCTCTCAGTGCCTTGGTGCATAAAGCTATAAAATGTCCAAAGAGCAGTAATAAGGGGTTGTTTCACAGGAATTTTGTGAGCAGTCTTGTTTTTTTGCAGTGGGGGGGGACGGGGTCTCACTACATTGCCCAGGCTGGAGTGCAGTGGCTATTCACAGGCACAATCCCACTAATGATCAGCACAGGAGTTTTGACCTGCTCCGTTTCCAACCTGGGCCAGTTCACCCCTACTCAGGCAACCTGGTGGTCTCCTACTCCCGGGAAGTCACCATATCGATGCCAAACTTAGTGTGGACACCCAATTGGCATAGCACACTACAGCCCAGAACTCCTGGGTTCAAGTGATCCTCCAGCCTCAGCCTCTGAGAAGCTAGGACTACAGGCACACGCCACTGTGCCAGGCTGTGAGCAGTCTTGTAAGGTGGCTTCTTATCGACCATATTCCAAGATAAACAGCTTATTTTAAAAGGTAAACATGGGGGTTGGTCATGGTGACTCATGTCTGCAGTCCT